GGGGGGGGGCGGGTTATGAATCCTTGGCCTCCCCAGAGATAAGGAATAGGTGCCACTTAAGGGACTGATCAAAAACAAAACCAAGACTTTCCCTTCTGATTTCCTGTTAGTAAACGCACACCAGGGAGACATTTCAAGTTGTTGTACCTTTCATTTTAACGAAAATCACTCTGAAAAGCAACCTCCCTATTTGAAGACTGTGTAACAGAAATCTCTCATCATCTCCCAGAGAACTGACATAGTTTAGCAAGCATCAAATTATATAGAGAGATGTATATGTATTTGAGTGTACTTCCATATTACTAGCAAAAACTTAAACAACAGTCTAGTAGCACTTTAAAGACTAACAAAACATGTAGATGGTATCATGAGCTTTCGTGGGCACAACCCACTTCTTCAGAAGTGATTAAAAGTACTGTTACCTCTGAAGCAGATGAAATTCAGAATTGCAAGTCCGGTAAACAGCAGGTAAGAAATCAAGGATGAATTGGATTTCCAGTTTTTGAATTGAAATAAAAAATGCACAATTTCCATTTCCTTATATAAATGACTGGGAATTCTTAAGAGAGGTATTTAAAAAAATAAAAAGGCTTGACAGTTAATCATTACCATTCAAAACCTGGAGCAGTCTCAATAAAAACACCCATTAAAAAGCCACCACACATCCATTACTAATACATAGAATCATAGAACACTAGAACTGGAAGGGACTTTGAGGGGTCATTAAGTCCAGTCCCCTACCCTCACCAAGCTCCATCTAGAGCAGTAGTTCTCAAACTTTTTGACCCCACTCAACACAAGCCTTTCCATGGGCCACCAGTCAACCAGCCATAATGACAAAATGCCTTTGCTGACACATTCATATTATGCTACTGGAGCATAACAAATTTAAATATGCAGCTATACTATAGGGGGGCATATATAAATGGTAAGAAAGGAAATATTATTAATCAAAATAATTAAACAGATTAAACACTATCATGTTAGTTTACCAAACTTCGTTTTAAACAAAGTAAAATATTAATTTATGTCCAAAACAAAAGGTTTCAATGTTGTCTGTTATTTATGGTAGGGAGAGTGTGGGGAACCTTTTTTGTGTGGGGTCACTGATTCACAGAAAAATCATTTGGGAGCCCACACAAAAGGCAACCCCCCAAAACACAATATCCCCCAACCTTCACTGATGTGGCCACCAACTAAGACACCTCACTTCCCTGGTGCTCCAGCCGGGGGAAGGGGAAGAGAGGACTGAGGTTCAGGGCTTTCCACAAGCCATATTGGGATAGGGGTGCAGGAAGGGGTGAGGAGTGGGGGTCTAGGTAGGATGTAGAGTGCTGGAGTGGGCTGGAAGTAAGGTGTCTGGCCGGGGGAAGGGTGTAGGGTGTTCAGTTTTGTGAATGATCATGAAAAACGAAACAGTTTCAAATGTTTTAATCCACACACATTTTCTTCAATCTAGTTTATACAGAGAAATACAATACAGATCAACAAGACATCAGAAAGAGGCTTTAGGAAATTCAGCAACAGAATCAGTGGTATGAAAACAGTTTTAATCTAAAACAAATATGAAGTCATCCTTTCAAAAGTATTCCTTTCTGCATATCTTCTAAGTCATAAAAACAAGCAGGGCATGAAACTGACCAATGTAAATCTGAATAACTCCACTGAAATCAATGGAGTTCTGCTGACTTCCCTAGAATTACTTTGAATTTACAATTGCTTACAAACAGAAGCTTGCTCAAATATTTTTTACTTCTCAACAAAATACACAACACTTGTATGCAATGATTAACCAAACTTGTCAGCACACTGTTGGAGCAACCAAACATATATTCCTCAGGACAGCAAAACTCCCATTCAAGTCAATGGGAGTACTGTCTCCTTAAGGAGAATATGATCAAACCCAAAAAGTGCATAAACATAAAGCAAAAAGTTTGACCATATTTTTTTCCAAAATTGCATTGCTGCTTGTGTATAGCAAGAATACAGATTATTTTAAAAGAAAAAAAAATAGTTCCTTACTTTTACGACTAGAATTTTGTATAAAACTTTACCATTTCACACACAGCTTATTCACTCTTTTTTGAAAGCAGAAGAGCAACTAATTCTATGAGGGGATTAAAAAAGATAAGTTTATCTTCCACCGTTTTAAAGATACTTTGGAGGTGCAATCCCTAGCAGGTTGGTCATTTTTTCTTACAAATAAGAACTCAAACACTTTGCAGCTGTGAATACAAAATGTCTTTTTTTTTGGAGGGGGGCTTGAAGAGGTGGTGGTGGATAAATGGGCATTTGTTAATTACTGGACACTTTACTGAACGATAGCCACATATTAATATGCAAAATGATGTCCCAATTTATGTTTCTGAATAAATTGATTCCCATATTAATATTCCATGGGAAAACAACTAACCAACCACACATCACTTTTACTGGATAAAAAGAACCCTAAAATGTTAGAAATTCAGCATTTTAACCCAGTGCTTGAATTAATAAATAGCTCTTCTTTTTTCTTATTTAGTGCAATTTTAGAATCTGCATGTGCACATTGACTACAAACATATTACAATACCAGAATTTTTTCTAACCTAAAGAACAGGCTTTTGTAAACCTTCAACATGCTGGTATTTTCTCACAAATATTGTTTAAGTGACTATGGCTAACTCACAGTTAAAGCTCTTGAAATTCACATTTTTACAATATTCAGAATATGGTTTTTGAATAGTTATTTCTGCTATACATACTGAAGATATATGCTACAAAAATAAAAAAAATCTGTTTTACTATAAAAACATCTATAAAGATTAGATGGCTAGAGTTCTGCAAGCTACAGGAGTTAGTCGTAAACATACATAATGAGGGATGTAAACTTTGAAGATACAGACTGAAATCCTTACAACAGTAGTTTTCTTTTCCTCTTTAAAGAGGAGTCAATACTATAATCAGTTTTATGTCAGATGGCTACAAATATTTTAAATTAACAACTCTGAACTTGGAAATGTAAAGACCATCATAGATATTGTGGGCACAGAAGACAGGACAATGTTAAAGACAAGCAAAAGATCATTTTAAATTACAAAGGTAATTGAGACTTCCAGAACATTACAGCTGGTGGAAGTCAGCCTAGCGCCACTTAGTTCAATGGACTATGCTGATTTACTCCAGCGGAAGATCTAGCTCAAAAGACCCCAATCCTAAGATCAGTGACTATTCAGCACTTAGTGCTTGCAGGATTGGACCTTAAACATATGGAATGAGAGAATACTGTTCATACCAACCAAATGGCGTTCTGTTACCCTACACTGTGCTGTAGGAGCAGCTACAGTTCCTCAGAACAAGATTGGAGCATTTTTTTAAAGTGGATAGTTCAAGTTCAGAAGGATCAGTCACACTATTGAAAACACTACCATAATCTCCTTTAAGTCTAAAATCATTCTAATTATTTCTAGTTGACTGTTTAAAAAAAAAAGAAATCTGCAGTCACACTGTGGAATGAAATAGGAAAATAAAAGCAGGGGATTTCATAAATGTATTACTCTTATATCTGAAGTAACAGCAGTACATTTTCAACAACCGGACATTCTTTACAAAGTCAACGTGTATTACATTAACAGTTTTAATGCTGTTGAAAACTATGGAACAATAGACCTACAGACCTTTTTTTTTCAGCTATAAGACAATAACTTGCACTTTGTAAGGAGGCTATTTTGGATCTCAACTTGCTTGCTTACCCAAATGAAAACCACTGTAAGCACATTGCTGATTGTCTTTGCTAGAGTGAAAAAAATCAAGGTCCTGGTCCTATAAAAACATATGCTCTAAAAATCAAGTTCATAAGTCTTTGAAGGTTTCAGGGCAAAGACCATAAAATCCAATGGAAATAATCAGCACTCTCTCCTTAGTCAATACTGTCCTCTGAAAAAAAGTGCACTGGACTACCAGGTAGAACCTACACTTATTAAAATATATCATGCCTAATACCACAATAACAAAAAAAAGCACAGGACACAAGTCTACATACACAGGGAAAAATGCCTGACTGAAATGCAATCTAAATATAAGCACAGAACTGTCCACTGACGTCAGAATGGCTCTGATTTACAAGGACACCAAAACCCGAAAAACTAGTTAATTACACAAACACACAAAAAGAATTAGAAGGACGTTTCTAGAATTACAACTGCCCAGGTACCCTCATCAATTTTAGTCATTTTACTATCATGTTTTACCATTACCAAATATTTTTTTATTTCCCTTGTTGCTGTGTGGAAAAAAATAGAGCAGCTTAATACAATTGTGAAAATCAAGTGAATTAACATAATATCTGTACTGATAATCATGACTATGGTTAATGGAAGTCATGACAAATTTTAATCATCATCATGACAGTTAACTGGGATTAGACTTTGCTGGGACTAGGTCTTAATCCTGGTCTGTTAATACGGTGCGCAATAAGATTTACCTTGTGTACAATGATTGCAAAGTCATGGTTGTCTGCATCCTGTTATCAAAATCAGGTTCTCTCACTTACATTCTTATAGGATACAATGTGAAAATATAAATAGGGCCCAACAGAGAAAAATAAGTAGGGGCCTGTTTTTCAAAGATATTAGCATCCATGACTCCAGTTTATGTGAATGCAATCCAGAACAATTAGTAGATTACAAAAATGTTCAAAACACATTTGTGATTTTAAATTTGGTGTGGCCATTTAAAATGGGAGCCTTCTCAGTGCATTGGAAAAGAGAATTTGGACCATATTATTCACCCATTGTGGTAGTTTTGGGTGCTATGCTGGACTCCACTGTAAACACATGACCAATTAAATACCAGGTTATGAATATATCACAGCCAATAAGTAGCACAATTTCTTATAAAAAAAGATAAACGTGATTGGCAACTACTTTCAGAGCTCAACTATTTTATTTCAAGAGGAAAAAAGAAAGGGTGTAGGACCCATCTTATGGGCTAGGAACACTGCTTTTAAAAACAGGCTGCAGAAGACCAAATGTCAATAAAATCAGACATGTGTCAACACCCCTCCCCCCACCAATTTACTCTGATCTATAAATTATTCTAAGAAAAAGATATATAAATAATGCGAAGATTAATAAGGGGGTTGTGAGAGGAGAAAAAGAATTCACTCAATAGCTAGTCTTTGTGTGAAAGTTTAAGCCCATCCAAAAGATTTTCACTTGTAGGCTATAAATCCAGGAAAAGGATTTATAACAGATGCAGTGACCAGTCTTTAATTACACTAGCATATACTGCAATGCAGTCTCAAAATAGTTTAGAATTACTGCTTTGTGAATACTCTGAATGCTTGCTAAATTAATATCTTTATATTTCCATATCTGTACATTTTATTCAAATTATCAGGGTTATGAAAGCCTCTAAGAAGTTACATGTATTCATAATTTATGTCATCCTAAAATGCTGTGTTGCTTTTCCTATAGTAGGGCATGAATTTCAATAGCAGAGCACCCTCTTCTGAGTAACTAATATATTGCAATATTTTTATGTTTCCAGTTGTCAACACCTATTTTTAATTAAAAATATTAGGATAATCAATAGACAATATTGTATCAGGTGCTTCATGTTTTTTACACCAGCTATTATTTTAAAATGTGAATTTTATCAGGTTCACAGCCATAATATAAAAGAGCACATGAGCAACTAACATTAAAAATGAAAGTATCTTTATCTAATTCATATGCAAATTAGGCATGGAGGCAAATGATAATGCCTTATAACTAGTGTAGTCAGACTAACGTGACTACACTAGTTGCGAGAAACTGACAGCAGAATCTGACTCTGAATTTGGGTGCACATAAACTGCACCCGTGGGTTGAAATAAAGCGCTATTCCAAAACATCCCTTAAACCTCATGGAACGAGAGTTACAGAGACACCAGAATAGTGCACCCATTATTTTGAAATCTATTTTGAAATAACGGGCAGGTTTATAGACGCGGTGTTGCTACTTTGGAACAATTCTGGTATCCTGAAATAGCACTGCTATCTAGACGCAGCCTTTGTGGTGAACTGAAACGTTTTGATTAAAATAAAACAGTTAAGCAAGAGAAGTTAAAAAATCCCACAGGATGGTAAGATGGGAAGTCCTATGTTCACCTGAGATATTTAAACTTTAGCCTTAACATTTATATTTTCAAAAGTCCTCTGGCCTGCAGACAGCTAGACACAATTACAGGAAAACTGGGCCTGGCATCTCTGACTTTGTAATAGCTATCTATATCCATATCTAGTGACTACAATCGTCTCCAATCTTCAAATAAAGTTTTGTGAAAGGCTTTCCAAGCTTACAACACCTCAATGCGTTACCTATCAAATGCCCTCAGCAATCTCAACAGTTACTTCTAATTGCTCAGGGATGCAGCACAATTCTCTTCCCATCAGCATGCAAACAGCCATGATCTGGCTGAGACAAACAGGGCAATCCTCAAAAAGCAGCTCTCCAAATTTTCCAAGTTGTCAGATGACCCGTTGCCCTCATTGCCCATTCTCCATCTATACTACACGGCTATTCATGGATTTGTATTACCCAGAGTATTTCACTCATGTGGCTCCAGATCCTGAGAAGTGCTCAGCGAGTTACAGTCAGTGGAAGGATAGAGCTCGTCTGCAATCAGGGATGTAAAATCCCATTTAATTGGTTAACCAGTTAAACAGAGTGTTTAACAAGTTAACAGATTAAAAGGGAGCGGGCGAGGGGTTGCCTATTGCTGGGTACTAGTTAATTGTTACCCAGTAACCATCACCCAGCAAGGGTGATTCTTACTGGGTAATCGGTCAAGCGTTCCCATCTCTAGTTTGTGTACAGTACCACCACTGCAATACCCCATTTTCTGAGGTGCTGAACCTGCATTTCCTTCCTCTAGCCCTGAACAAAACAAATTGGGAGACAGGCTGCCCTCACCAACTGTGCTGTCATCTAGAGTAGTTTCTCAACAATCGGCCTGTGAACTAGCGCTAGTCCCTGAGATCTCCCTTGACACAGCTGAGGATTTCAGCAAGATGGTCCTTGATATCAAAAAGGTTGAGAAACACTGATCTGGAGAGACAGGATGGATTTTTCATCTTCACTGGGCCAGGAAAAAAAAGCATTTTTATAAGCTTTGTTTTAAGGGTAGGGTAGGGATTCAAACTGCTGAACAGTTTTTGATCCTATGAATACTGAAATAGATCTTGCAAATTTCCAGAAAAAATGTTAGATGACTCTTTCCAACAGTTTGATAAGCATAGGTCAAGCAACCCTGTCATTGTCTAACTTATCTGCATTTCAGAGCTTTATAATTTATCTATAAACATTAGTACACAAGCATTAGAGCCTAATACATAAATAAATACTTATTTTAATAAGTGTCAATAACTTATTCAAATATAAATAAAATAAAACTTACCAATTTAAAATGATTTCTAAGCTAGTATAACCTAAAGTATGCTTTAACTAAAGAAGATCTAGCTATAACATGGAATATCTACTTTGGGTATTTTTAATTTACTCTTATGTGGAATTTTGTGTCTCAACTCGCTCTATGCATTTACATGATAAATTATAACATCAAAGGAGGTATACAAAGCTACTGAGCATGGAATTTACATTTTTTGTCAACATTTACAATTCATTACATTCTAATCACATCTATAATAAACATCTTGCAAATTTGTCTAAATAAGAATGTATTAATGTCAGTAGTATACAGAATGTAAACTTTTAAGGGACACTGTCAAGTTAAAACATTTTTAACTTGCAAGATTATTAAAAATAGAAGAATTTCAAAAAACATAATTAACTTTTTACACATAAACGATGTTTGCTTTTTGCATTTCACTCAGCATGGAGAATTTAGGACATAAAGGGTTTGTTTTACTTCCTGGTCTCTGATGCACTGATACAATGCTGTTGTGTTCAGTTTCCATAAACCTGTATGAAAAGGCTTAAATAAACTGTTTAAAAACCAAACATTTTCATTAACATTAGGTAATCCACTGAGCCTTTTTTTAGATTTTGTAAAATTATATATAAACTACCCTACTTGAAAGTGTCCCTTTAAACTAGCATACAGAAAACAAAAGGAAAATTATTTGAGGATGCTGCCTTAAAATGACAAAAGACGTTAAACAACAACAACAACAACAAAATTCAGCGTTTAGACCAAGACTATTTCCTTAGCTTCTCACTGGGTTTAATGTATGCAGCACATATCTACTATACATTCAGTTACTATTTTGCAATCTTCAGTACATGGAACTGGAACGATTAGTGACAGGTTTACTCCTCCGCTTCAAATTCTTTTGTAGGGTTAAGTTACTTGCTAATAAAATAGCTGAAGAGCAACTACTGATTTTGGCTGGGTTGGCCATGAAGTTTTAAACCTGAGATGCTTTAACCTCATCAATATTCATCTTAAGAAATTTTGCTGGTTATCTAAACAGGATGTTTATATCTACTGTTACATCTATTCCATATTTTTGTATCACATGTCTGTAATAATGCTCTTTTCTGGTCATAAATTTAAAATGGGAGATAAAGTTATAACTCTTGCAAAACTATTCTTCATCTTGCATGACCTTGTCAGGAAGTAAACATTACTTCCGTTCTCTATTTGTTTTAGCAGATAATACATTTTTACTAAATTAGATCATATATGTATAAGGGATCATCATCAGACAAGATCAGTTATCTGTAGCAGTTTTTAAAAGGGTTGCTAACTGTCACCAAAAACAAACAAAAAAACAAATCTTGTGATACAGGTCTTAAAAGATGGCTGTGCTATACAAAGTCTCATTTCAATATCTCTTTTAAGTGCACCTCACAGTATATTGTTGAATTGAGTAAGACACATCACTTATTTAAAAGAGAAAACAGTATTCAAGACATACTAAAACATTTAGCTTAAAAAAAATCAGTTTAAGTTATGGTTTTCATTTTGACAGTATACACCTAAGTGTTTTACTAAAGTTTAGCCCAGAGGTTTTTACATTGATACTTGAAAGCATGGCTTTTGTTTTTCACCTCTCCGCCACTCACAAGTCTATACCTTAGTGCATAAAGGTTTAGTTATTGAGACAGTTAAATAGATATTAAATGTTCTAAGTTAATGAAAATTAATATATTATGTAAAATTATTTAAAAAAAAATCTATACGTCTTCATCTGTCTGTTCCCTTGTGTGTTCCTGCTCAGACATGCTGGAAACATCATCATCTGTTTGTTCACCCGAGTGATATAACATCAGTGCATGTGTCTTATGAGTTATGGTAACAGTGCAGGGTCCCTGTGCCCATGGCTCTCCATCCACCTGCATTGGCATCTTTGAATTCTTCAGAATCAACTGGTATTAAATAAGAACATATATATAATCAGAACTGTTCACTACAAGCAAAGATATCTCAATTACAATGATTGCCAATGATACAACAAGGTTTCAGCCTCCCAGCAGGGAATCTTAGTATATTGTTGATTACACGCATGTATAGGGCGCCTATCACGGAGTTATGTGGGTGCAATTTAAGTGGCAATTCATCTTTCTTGGAAAAGTTAACACCAGATTTCCTGACAAACTGCAGCTTTTGAAGACAATAACGTGATCGGGCAGCTGAGTGCCTAAAATAAGATGATACCGTTGACTCAAAAAACCAATTAAAGGGTAAGCATAAATGCTACCTACCCTCACAGTGTGTGCCCGTCCTAGTCGAACAGGATTTGCTAATTTCACCTGAATCTGTGCACAGTGGAAAGAACCATAAACCCCAGCAACTTCCAGAAGTCCATCATCATACCTAAATTTTAAAAAAGGAGACATTTACCATTAAAAAAATCCCAGTTGTGAATAACACTGAAGTAACTAGGAAACTACAGTGTTTCAGATACAAATAATGAAGGTGACTGATAGAGTATCTAAGCTTAAACCAATGCATTTGCCTTCTGTTGTATAACAAATTCAACACACTCTGTAAAATGTGGTGGCCCAGTTCTGCAGCACCTACTCATGAGCAATCCTTCTGATTAATGGTATTGCTTACTGAACCCACTTGCCATTACGCTGTAATAAAAAAAGCATATATTATAGCCCTTGAGGCACTACATACCTTGCCAGGGGATAAGTCTCATCCCCCATTCCTTCCCACAATCTGCAGCCACCTCCCCAATATCCGATATTCAGGACGATGATGCCTTCCAAATTCGGCAGCTCAATTCTCTCACCATCCAGCTCTAGCTTTACAGACACACAAGAGATTGTTAGTCAGTTATTGGGGGGCGTGTCAGTTCTCTTCATGCATTAGGGTAGGCATCCCACTTAAATCAATGGGCATGGGTCCCACATGATCAGCATGTGTGTTCTTTATAAAATACAATTGCTTTAGAAAAAAAAACATTTTTGACTTTATAATATGGTAGCCTAGCCTACAACCCTCATTTCCATTAACTATTACACTACAGTTGCAAGGGTTTGTGACTCAGACTTGTGCAGCCCCTCTACATTCAAGTCAATTTTACCTATGTATCAGGATTTTAGCTACACAGGCCTGGTATCGGGGGGCAGGGTAGGGAGGAGCAAAGAGGGCAACTGCCCTGGGACCCAGTGATTCAAAAGGGCCTGGGGCTCCTGGCTGCTGTTGCTTCTGCAGGAGCTGTGGCAGCGGGAATCATGGGCCCTTTCAATCTCTGTTGGAGTACCAAGTGACGCGTTCTGGACAGCCCTGAGGGCTGAAGGGGAAAGGGGGAGCAGCGTGCTCTGGGAGGTGCTGAGGGCTGGCTGCCCCAGCTCTGTCATTTTTGCCTGAAGCCCCGTCCCTTCCAGGGGCATGGTGCTGACCCGTCTCACCTTCCCCAAGAGCTTGGCAAGTCTGTCAGCCCCACTGTAACTTCACCAGGGGCTCTCAATCCAAAGTCTACAAATGTAACTAGGAATTTTTAATGGGCTTAGGATCAGGCACCAGATACTGTACAGTTAGTCCTGAATAGTTATTGCCACAGGTTAGTTTTGTTACTCTAGAAAAAAGGTAAGCAATATATGGTGTGCTTTAAGAGACTTGGGCTTTGTTTAGATTTTTTTTTTTTTTAACAAAAAAGCAGATCATTTCCTTTTAAGATCCTACTTTCTCAAGAGAGGGAGAATGTATGTTCCCCAGGGAAAAAAGTGAATTAACTCACAAGAGAATCTTACCTCAACTTTTTTGTTAAGATCTTTACATTCCTGTACTAAACAATCTTTAGTTCCATAGAAAAAATAAACAGCCTACAAAAAGTTAAAGAGAAACCAGTATCAGAAACAGGGAAAAAAATGAAGGTAATTTGATTATGCAAGAGCTTGAACTGAAATTCTTATTTAAGATAGATACATGTGTGTCCTTTTTGCTTTTAAAGTTTTCAGGAAGAGGACTACCCTACCTAGCACAAGTAAGAGGTTTCCCCTTTTAAAATAAAATCCATATTACATTTTTAAATAGAGTTGGGCAATGCCATTGCTCTGTGGAATTAGGAAGCCACAGTGGGGGTAGCGGTCGGACCCTGCACGAGCTGGGACTGAGCCAGCGTGCCGGCTCTCAAGTTCTTTAAACGCAGAACCGCTGTGGGGTAGCTGTCTGACCTGGTGTGAGCTGTGACTGAGCCAGCGTGCTTGCGTACAGACTCCCAAAATACTTTAAATACAGAGCTGCAGGGGATGGGAGAGAACTGCATGTAGCGGACAGCATTAACCAATAAGCGTGGCTACACTATTACATCTGTACATTGCTCCAGTCCATTAAGTTTCCAAATGACTGAGAAGGTCTATAGAAGAAAACATATTTAGGACTGCCTTGCAGGTAATTAAAGAGGCTTTCCCTCTACTTCCAGAAGGGAAGAGCAACCCAAGCAGATGGAACCTGGCTGGAAATGCATCTGATCCACCATAAGCTCCTCATGGAAGTTTATCCACAAGAGGATTGGACCTCTTCTAAAACTGGGAACTAAGTACTTTCCATTGTCAGTATTAGAGTGTACATTCTCAGTCACTAGTGTATAAACTTGGGATATGGAGACATAAGTAAGCCAACAGCAGCATGGTGGTGGACCAGCAGGACAGCTACATAGGGACAATAGTCCCCCCGGTTGACCAAGATCCCAGTGCATCTCAAGACATACTCAAGAGAAATGAACATCCTGACCAAGGGAAATAAATGGAATGATAAGGATGAAACTCCATGAGCTAAAACTCACCCATGTAGAAAAGTTTCATGTAATGGAAAACATGGCCCACATGGCAGTTTCCGAGGTTGGACAAAGCTCCAACAGTGTTAGTCACAACTGCAACTAGTCAGTGGCCTCGGCTGTTCCCATGGAAGTGATTTTGCGATAGTATTGGAATGCAATGCCATGATATTGAACAACACAATAAAAATGTAAATACACATTAGACTAAACTAGACACTAGTAAGGCACAAGCTCAGATTAAGTTGCAGAAAAATGTTTAGCATGTTTTCTGCTACATTTAAAAAAAATCCAAGTTTGTCTCATACTGTTATGCAAAACAGCCTATACTTAAACACTTGCATGAATGAATGGAGGCTATGTACAGCCTTTGATTAAAGGGTGCCAATCCTCAATATATATGGCAAGAAGTGGGAAATGCTATTTTATCAATCACACCTTATTAATAATTCTGCTGGAAAACAGAGAGGGAGTCTTCTCACGATGCGCATGAAAGTTGAGAGCCATGAGAGCATCAGGTCCTATAGAAAAATAGTTGTTCATTGTGAACACCTGCGGGACATAAGGACATAAGAACATAAGAATGGCCATTCAAGGTCAGACCAAAGGTACATCCAACCCAGTATCCTGTCTGCCAACAGTGGCCAATATCAGATGTCCCAGAGGGAGGGAACACAACAGGTAATCCTCATGTGATCCCTCTCCTGTAACTCATTTCCAGACAAACAGAGGCTAGGGACACCATTCCTACCCATGCTGGCTAATAGCCATTGATGGATTCAACCTCCATGAAGCTATCTAGCTCTTTTCTGAACCCTGTTAAAAATTCCTAGTCTTCTCCACATCCTCTAGCAAGGAGTTACAGGGGTTAACTGTGCACTGACTAAAGAAAAACTTCCTTGTATTTGTTTTAAATCTGCTGCCTATTAATTTCATTTGGCGACCCCTAGTTCTGATATTGTGGAACATACATAACATAAGAACATAAGAACGGCCGTACTGGGTCAGACCAAAGGTCCTTCTAGCCCAGTATCCTGTCTACCGACAGTGGCCAGCACCAGGTGCCCCAGAGAGGGTGGACCAAAGACAATGATCAAGCAATTTGTCTCCTGCCATCTCTCTCCAGCCTCTGAAAAACAGAGGCCAAGGACACCATTTTATCCCCTGGCTAATAGTCTTTTATGGACCTAACCTCCATGAAATTATCTAGCTTCTCTTTAAACTCTATTATAGTCCTAGCCTTCACAGCCTCCTCTGGCAAGGAGTTCCACAGGTTGACTACACGCTGTGTGAAGAAGAACTTTCTTTTATTAGTTTTAAACCTGCTATCCATTAATTTCATTTGGTGTCCTCTAGTTCTTCTATTATGGGAACTAATAAATAACTTTTCTTTATCAGCCCTCTCCACACCACTCATGATTTTATAGACCTCTATCATATCCCCCCTCAGTCTCCTCTTTTCTAAACTGAAAAGTCCCAGTCGCTTTAACCTCTCCTCATATGGGACCCGTTCCAAACCCCTAATCATTTTAGTTGCCCTTTTCTGAACCCTTTCCAAGGCCAAAATATCTTTTTTGAGGTGAGGAGACCACATCTGTACACAGTATTCAAGATGTGGGCGTACCATAGTTTTATACAGGGGCAGTAAGATATTCTGGGTCTTATTTTCTATCCCTTTCCTAATAATTCCTAGCATCCTATTTGCCTTTTTGACCGCCGCTGCACTCTGTGTGGAAGTTTTCAGAGAACTGTCCACGATAACTCCAAGATCCCTTTTCTGATTTGTTGTAGCCAAATTAGCCCCCATCATACTGTACGTATAGTTGGGGTTATTTTTCCCGATGTGCATTACTTTGCATTTATCCACATTAAATTTCATTTGCCATTTTGTTGCCCAATCACTCAGTTTGGTGAGATCTTCTTGGAGTCCCTCACAGTCTGCTTCTGTCTTGACTATCCTAAACAGTTTGGTATCATCTGCAAACTTTACTACGTCACTGCTTACCCCTTTCTCCAGATCATTTATGAATAAGTTGAAAAGGATTGGTCCCAGGACTGACCCTTGGGGTACACCACTAGTTACCCCTCTCCAATCTGAAAATTTACCATTTATTCCTACCTTTTGTTTCCTGTCTTTTAACCAGTTCGCAATCCAAGAAAGGACCTTCTCTCTTATCCCATGGCCATGTAATTTACACAAGAGCCTTTGGTGAGGGACCCTGTCAAAGGCTTTCTGAAAATCCAAGTGTACTATATCTACTGGATCCCCCTTATCCGCATGCTTGTTAACCCCTTCAAAGAACTCTAATAGATTAGTAAGACAGGATTTCCCTTTACAGAAACATAACTTTTTCTTATTCAGTTTTTCCACACCAGTCATGATTTTATAGACCTCTATTATGTCCCTCCCCCCTTCATCTCCTCTTTTCAATCTCTCTTCATATGGGACCCTTTCCAAACTTGTAATCATTTTTGTTGCCCTTTTCGGAACCTTTTCCAATGCCAATATATCTTTTTTGAGATGAGGCAACTACATCTGTACACAGTATTCAAGTTGTGGGCATACTATGCTTTTCTATAGAGGCAATAAGATATTCTCTGTTTTATTCTCTATCACTTTTTAAATGATTCCTAACATTCTAATCTGCTTTTTTCACTGCCGCTGCAAACAAAAGCTCTAGTTAAAAATTCTAGAGACAGAAAAACAAAATCCTAATAACTTCCAATTTGCCAATTACAAGTGTGTAATCTGAAGTACAGATAGCCGTTTGTATATTAGCTAAGAACTGGTTAAGGCTCTGAGTTACATAGGTGCTATGATGAGTATTATATAGTGATGGGAGATGTGCCCATGTTACAGAGCAGAATTTGGTCCTATGAAATTAAAATAGTCAAACTTTCACTGACTCTCTGCACTTACCAATACACTGTCTGTGCTTAAATTATTGTTGGATTCATGGAGTTTTGCTAATACTTCTCAGATACCACAGGCTTTGACTTCCTCAGAAAGGAAATCTCTGTGACCACTTTCAAAGAATATTTTGTTTGAGAATGCTTCTTTTGGCACTTTCAGTGCTCACAATGGCACTTTTTAAAAATAAGATAAACATTCTAAATATCAGGTCTGCAAGCAAAACATGTAGGGATCTAGTAAAGAAACAGTAAATCCTGCATTTATTTCTGTAGATCCCTACATTTTCTAACTGACGGTGCTACATCACCTAACTACAATATGCATATATTTGTATGTATGTATCTATCTATACATACATATATACACACACAGTTCATTAAAGTTTAGAATTGTATTATAGGAATTTTGACATATCCTGTGACAAGTCAGAGATCAATTCCCACAACACTATTCCAATATCGTCTGTTCCCGATACTAGGGCCTGATTTTTCTCTCACACTAATGAAAATCAGAGGTAACTCTATGGATATCAGTCACAAAAGTGTAAACCGACGTGAGATTAGATCACTCTTAAAGAAGTGTTCATTTTACAGTCAGGTTACTTATAACCATTTGATGCATAGAAAAGATATCTTTTTTTCCTGAAACTTTGCAGAGTGGCAACACACAATTTGCAACCTTCTTCACATTTCCTGTTTTATTATTCTAGTTAATTGTGAATTAGAAGACTGTCATGTAATAAGAATAGTATTCTGAGAGCTGCTGTAAACTTGCATGACAGTTTCACTTCGGCATCAGCCAATCAACAAAGCAGTTCAGTGTCTTCAATGCTGTAATATCGTTATTGCTAAATCTTCCATCTCCAGATGCTGTTGGACTATAGAGGTCCAACTTGTATTATTACTACACAACCTTCAAGCCAATTTATTTTATTTTATTTAGAAATCATATGCAAGTAGGATATAAAATAATCAATTCAAATAAGCATCTGGTAAGATCAACGCTTCAATAGTTTTGAAATCATACCTTTAGCTTTCTTAAATTGTAGTATCCTTTGTTTATTATCTGAACCTTCCATCTGAAAAACAATAAGCTATTAATCAACTGACAGAGGATGAACTAGTCTCACTGAACTCAAATTGCAATCAAGAAACTAACAACTGCAATGCACAAAATTATAATCAGAAGATGACTGTTCGTCAGAAGATTCAGCGATTTGGTTTCCTATTTAAAGATGCGGTGCCCAACACGTTAGCCACTAGCCGCATGTGGCTATTTCGCTGGTCGAGTGTGGATAGTTTGCTGGTTAGACATTACAGATTTAAAGGTTCAGCACTGGAGAAGCTTATCAGCAGAGGCTCCTACACCTGGGACATCCATTAGGTCCTACTTTCCCACTGGAGCAGTTACACCTCATTTGTGTTTCCTTACTCTGCTCTCACTGGGTGTTACTGCTGATCGGTAATGCTTTCTAGAGTTTATAGACAAAATAGTTAAGGCGCCGCCGTGTTACTTACCTGTCTAGTTTAATTCCATCTGCCTCCATTACATTGCGTAAAATTTGTTCCGCTGGGACTTCTCCAGCATAACCAGCACCCCAGCCCAAAGTATTAGACAGGTCATTACCTGTTCCGAGAGGTAAGATCGCAACTTGTGGAATATGCCGTTCTTGTCTCTGTGACATAGAAATGTTAAATTTTAAAATCTATTATCCCCAGAAATGTTAGAGAGAGCTGAAAATCATTAACCAAAAAGTTGTTTCAATGGTTATTAGCGAGTAGCACAGCTGGTACCGTAAACATGGCAGATGTCAAATCTAAGCACTTGTGATGGAGAAAATGTGACAGGTGGAATTTTTAAACTAGGCAAAAACCAAACGCACAAAATTACACATACCCCCAAATAAGCAGTCCTCCTGGAAAACATCTTGCCCTATCTTTCTCTCTGTAAAGATGGTATATCTACTTAGTTCATAAAGCTGTTGTGAGCTTTTAAGTTTTCAACTGTGAGAAGTAACTTGAAAAACTGTCATCGTGGTTACTGTTGTTTAATTTGGGTATATATGTTTATAAGAAAATATATGTCCTCACTAGGGGTATGTCTAGACTGCATCCTTCTGTCGGCAGAGGGATGCAGATTAGGCAAGCCAACATTGCAAATGAGGCAGGGATTTAAATATCCTGCGCCTAATTTGAATAAAAATGGCCATCACGTTTTGCCGACTCAGCACTTTGTCGGCAAAAAGCAGCAGTCTAGGGGGGATCTGTCGAGAAAGAAAGTATTTTTCGACAGATCCTGTAAACCTCCTTGCAGGAAATCCCCCTCTAGCCTGCCACTTTTTGCCAACAAAGTGCTGAGTCGGCAAAACGCAGTAGCCATTTTTATGCAAATCAGGCGCAGGATATTTAAATCCTTGCCTCATTTGCAATGTCGACCTGCCTCATCTGCATCCCTCTGCCGACAGAGGGATGCAGTCTAGACATATCCTCAGCTCTCTGGTTGCGGGACTGCAAGGGTAAGCTGACAAAGCCCCATCGCTACAAGTCAGCATGTGTGAACGCTGTTGGTCGTCACTTTTGCCAACAAAATACTTCCACCTCCTGTGAGTGGCTTTCACTTTCTTGGCAGGAGTGCTCTCCTGCTGACAAAGGAGCATTCACACTTGCATTTTCTAAGCAAAACTTTATCGTTCACAGGGGAGAGGGAAGGGGTTTTAAGCACCTCTAAACATCGATAGTTTTGTCGATCAAGTGCAAGTTTAGACATAGCCTGAGAGTCAAGTTAGGTTTTTTTCTCCTTTCACTTATCACCAGTAATAAAGATTTTATAGCTAAGCTCTCAGAGGAATAGCTGGATACTTCCAGTGCATGTAATGTGTTTTCAGGAGCATACCCTTTTGTCAACAATTCTGCTAAGGAGGCATGAGAGGAACTATAATGCAGCTCACACCATCTTCAGCATATTAGCTTTGCGGGGGTAATAAGATATTTTCTTCAATGTAATTCAATGTACCTGCAAATCTATGTCTCTCAAAAGAGTTCACGGGTTGATGATGTGCATCAGGACCCAGTCTCAGCTTTCAGTACAGTACGCTATAATGTATGAATTAGTTAACAAATAAACCATTCACTTTGATATACTCTAGAAAATTGGGAAAAGGGAATTACATTTTTCTTATCCAATCTTGTGGATTTGCCACTTGTTTTCTTTAGAGAAAAGGATGTGCGTGGATACTAGGCAGAAAGTGTGACAACCGAATTAGATACCCTTCAGAGTTTAAACATCCCAAGACTTCTTGTTGACAAGCTCTTCAACTGAAAACACATTTTATTTAGAAACAATACCAAACACACAAAGTTTCATCACTTCTTATCAGTAAGTAATGGCAGAATGAAAACCACTTCTTCAATAATTTATCTACTTCTGTCTATTAATCTCTTTCTGAAGTCACAATCCTGCAATCGTACCATTATTTTGGTGGCTTTAGAAGTTGAATACTGTTTGAGAGAAATAAGCAACCAGAGCAGAAGAATCTTACTATATTAATAAAGCCTTTAACAGCAAAATAAATCTCTTTAGATTACAAGGGAATGCATAAAACAGGCTATGCTCTGTAAGCAGAATGGTTTCTAAATTAAATGTTCAGTCTCTATCTCTTTATTATACATAAGCTACTTCACAAATACTTTTCTTAATAGGTTTACTCAAAGACAGGAACCACTCATATGCAGATAAGAGATTAGGACTTTGGCCAGTTACAAAAGGCTTTGCACCACAATACTTGCAAAGGTACTCAAACATCATACCTTTATCTTCATTTCATCAATTGCATCCAGGACCCAGCCTACTGTGCCATCCCCACCACAAACAAGTACCCTTGCAGAATTATAAGGCAGCAAGGTACAAAGCTGGAGTGCTTTGGAAGGTGAAATTTTGCTGAGATCAAAAACCTATGAACAAATTAAAATAAAAGTGAAAAATGTCATCAGTCTAGGGTTTACTTCACAGATCAAACATCTTTATTTTATATATATTACGATGCAAATTGATCTTCCAGTGAACTACTCTGGCAAAGGATCATACCAGAGACCAAATCCTACTCAAGAGTCATGTGAGTACAGGCAGTCCCCGGGTTACGTACAAGATAGGGACTGTAGGTTTGTTCTTAAGTTGAATCTGTATGTAAGTCGGAACTGGTGTCCAGATTCAGATGCTGTTGAAACTGATCAGTTTCAGCAGCGATTGAATCTGGATGCCAGTTCCGACTTACATACAGATTCAACTTAAGAACAAACCTACAGTCCCTATCTTGTACGTAACCCGGGGACTGCCTGTACTCACATGACTCTTGAGTAGGATTTGGTCTCTGGTATGATCCTTTGCCAGAGTAGTTCACTGGAAGATCAATTTGCATCGTAATATATATAAAATAAAGATGTTTGATCTGTGAAGTAAACCCTAGACTGATGACATTTTTCACTTTTATTTTAATTTGTTCATAGGTTTTTGATCTCAGCAAAATTTCACCTTCCAAAGCACTCCAGCTTTGTACCTTGCTGCCTTATAATTCTGCAAGGGTACTTGTTTGTGGTGGGGATGGCACAGTAGGCTGGGTCCTGGATGCAATTGATGAAATGAAGATAAAGGTATGATGTTTGAGTACCTTTGCAAGTATTGTGGTGCAAAGCCTTTTGTAACTGGCCAAAGTCCTAATCTCTTATCTGCATATGAGTGGTTCCTGTCTTTGAGTAAACCTATTAAGAAAAGTATTTGTGAAGTAGCTTATGTATAATAAAGAGATAGAGACTGAACATTTAATTGTCTGCTGGCTCTGTCAGCAGACCAGGGAGACAGGGAGCAGCTTTTCTCACCCTGGAGGAGGCGGGCAGCGGGACCAGGTGTCCCGCCGCTCCAGTCCTCCGGGGCGAGAAAATCCCCGTTCGTAACTGCGGATCCGACGTAAGTCGGATCTGCGTAACTCGGGGACTGCCTGTAGTTACTTCAGGGAATATTCACATAAACAAAGCAAGTGAGATTCTGCCTCAAATGAATTTTTTTTTGTATCCACTAATGTCAAACTCTCAACTTTTACAAGCACCAAAAGTAATTAAATAAAAACAGTTTTTAAAAGATTTAAAATTCAGTTTGTAAAAAAGTTTATTCATTCAGACTACTCTTGGCATTTTTTTATTTTTTTTTAGACACAGAGACCTTACTGATTTCTGCCAGTCAGAATTTTAAGGCTTTTGCTTTGAACTTTGGAAGGGGAAGGGAAGAGGATTAAGGTGTAGACAGGAAATCCAGGAATAGCTAAATTACGTCAGAGCATCCTCTGTCTTCCCATTTGAGCTTAAGGGACAATAGCAACACAGGAAAACAGCTGGATAGGTTGCCATCTTCACGAGTAAAACCAGGATTAAAAAAAAAAAAAAAAATCACAAGAAATGAGATCAAACACACCAGACCACTGCACCAGACAGTGACCATGGATGATGGTGTTGCATGAGGTATCATGTAGTGAAAAGAAAAGAATACAAGTTATGATTTTTTCAGGATTTAAAGTTTTTTTAATTGTTCCCTATCTTAAAAATCTCATACCTTCCTCAATGAATTCTGGAGATTTATTGAAAATAAAATCAGCGAGAGGATTGTTGCAAGTTCAACTTCTATAAATCTTAGTGAGACTTAGTTCCTTATCCAAACTCATTGTTAAAAAAACAACAAAAACGCTCCTTAAATTGAGTTTGCTTAAAATCCTGGGGACCATTTTTTTCCAAATAAGAACTGAACCAATCTGTTTCCTTAGCTGGAGATTTGTATGACATTACTTAAAGAGATACTATACTCCATATATAAGCAAAATACAGGTGATTTTAATTGAGTCTTTAGTTTATTACATAGTTATGGCTTTCCCCCCTAGTTACCTGAACTGGGTTTAAGAGAATCTTAAACTCTCCCAACAATGTTTCACCCATGTTGTTTCCACTACGAGTATTAGCCAGGATTATTATTGGGGTCCAGTGTTTACCATAGGAGGATGCCAACTGCAGAAAGAGAAAAAACTCTGTATGTACACAAATATGACAAACCTAAAAGGAACGAGGAACTCTGAATTCCAAATTCATTCCCCATTCACACAAAGGACAGGAAAAATGAATTACTGTACTCCATAATTCTAAATGAAATGTAGCTAATTCCCTCTTTATAGTGAGAAGAGAAACAAGCAATATTTGCTAATAAGTGATTAATTTACAACTTATTTCAACCAGTAGCATTCCAAGTCAATGACGATTAAGCAGAAGTGTCAAAATACAGCTACTAAATGTCTAACTTGTGTTTTTTCAGTTTCTTGTTGCCAGTATTGCTAAACCTCATTATCAATACAAGCTTTCATACAGTCTCTCCCTCTTCTACACCTTGATCTTGCAATTAAATCATTGCAGTGCTATCAGAATAAGCTCCTTAGCAGCACCGAAGTCTTAAATGCAGGACTATTCCTTCACTGAATTAAGACAGATAATGCTTTTGTTCAAACAGATGATTTCCATAATAGCAGAAATATATAGAAAATTAACAGCAAAGTTGTATATTTCTACAAATAGTTTGATCAAATTTACACAAGAATACAAGTCCCCCTCTACAATGAATTCATGTTTGCAGCACTGCTAACTTCAAGGGTTCTAATACCATGAATCAGAACCAAATATTTTTATTTCTTTTTAATCTTGTTTTTCAGTCTTCTGGTTTTTGACTCCCGCTATGAATATCCCAATTGGCATATGGTAATTATAGGTTGAGAATTCACCTTGACTTGTACACAGTAATGCAGGCCCCAACTCTCTTTCCTTTCACCTTTACTTTCCAGCCCTCCAGTCTCCCTACTGGCTCATTCCTGCAGCCATCCCAATTCCCCATCAAGCTCCCCATATCCTCTACAAGCCTATAGGCCCCCTATTTCTCCAACTTCTCCTCTAGCAGAATCCAGCAGTTGACTTGTGGTTAGTCTTCAGGGAGGACGTTGGCTCTATGCTCCTACATCCAAAAACTCTCCTTTCCTGCACTGGAGTGGGGATAGCAAGGTTAAGACTACTGAGCTTGGTACTTGGGCTGGCTCTGCTTTCCTAGAATCTGCCCTGCTTAGAGCACAAACAATTGGCTGGCTGTGGCATAAACAGCACTGCCACTTGTAATGACTGAAGGGAAAGTGCAGGCAGTTCAGGTAAAAATTTTGGGCTGCTTGTGTTTTATTACAAGAGCCCCCTAAAATTGGTCTGAAATCATTCATAGATTTAAAGATCAGAATGGATTATTGGACCTAGTTTAACATCATGTAAATCTTAGGCCACTAAATTTCACCTAGGTAGTCCTGTAACCAGCCCACTAACTTGTGTTTGACTAATGCCTATTTCCAGAAAGGCATCCAGTTTTGGTTTGAAGACATCCACTACTTTCCTTGGTGGTTTGCTCCAATGGTTAAAATGTGTGCCTTATTTTTAATTTGTCTGGCTTCAGCCTCCAGGCACCAGTTCTTGTTCTGTATTTCTCCACAAGACTGAACAGCCATTTAGCACAGGTATTTTCTCCTTGTGAAGAACTGTCACACTGGTCAAGTTACTCAGTCTTCTTTTTGTTATTCTGTTTAGTTTAAGCTCTTTAAGTCTCTCACTGTCAAGCATTTTCTTCAGCCATTCAGTCATTTTTTGCAGCTCTATTCTGTAGTTTCTCCGGTTTTTCTAACATCCTTTTCAAACCATAAACAGCAGCACTGTACATAGTGTTCTAGTACTGGCCTCACCAATGGCATATGCAGAAATAAATTCACCTCGCCTTTCTTTTATTGACTACTCTCTTGTTTATACATACAAGGGTCCCGTTAGCCCTTTTGCCACAGTTTCACTCTGGGGAGTTCATGCTGAGTTGAGTTGCTTGTTCATTATGACCACTAAACCCATGAGACTTTGATTTCCAGGATACAGCCTCTCCCCGCCCCCAGTCACGAAATTTGTGTGAGTACTACAAGTGTTGATACTTTGCATCATGCAACACACTATATTTTGGAACACAGAACATATTTTTATTTGACAGCTGTGCCTCTTTGAAGGGTCACTTTATTTTTTAAACTTCCATTGTATCCTAAATTAAATACAATGAAAACAAACAGGTTTATTCTCATCAGGTATCCCTTTAAAAAGACTTTATAGGATTTCTCTCTAATTCCATGTTTTGTAGGTAACTGTTTTCTTTTACATAGCTTTGTTTACAGATTTTACTAAAGACTTAATGAATATTCTACAACATATAACAGGGAATTGAGCATAAATTACTTTTGGAATTATTGACTAAAGAAGATTATGGGATTTAAACAATTGTGGCTAAGATGTTTTGAGGTACTATAGCTTCAGTGTCACTTCAGAATAATTAAATGTAAAAATCTGTTCAATCTCAACCAGGATGTTAATAAAATGACTAACATTCAAAACGACACACTGAGCATTTATGTATTCGAATACTGATCCAGTGTATAACCAGTCATTGCGCCAATTCTAAATATTAAAGAAAAGATAAGCAGTTACCTTTCCATAGTCAATTCTTTTATCTTTACGCATCTGATTAATGGTGGATAAATAGTATGGTGGAACAATTAAGTTTCTAAATTCTCCAAAACTACACTTTTCGCTCTTTAAAGAATTCTGCATGCATTCATCATGTACAATGTGCTGACACCAAACACACCTGAAAACAGAAACAAAAATAGTTACAACGGTGGTTTAACTTGATTTCTCACCAGCCACTTGGATTGAAAGGTTGACTTTACTTGTATAGGGCAATGCAAAAACACTTTATAAAATAAAGTATATTAATACAGCACAAGTTATGCAATGGGATCATGAAACATGAAGAACTTTGCCTTAGATTCTTTATTAGATACACAGAAAAATTAGTTGTCCTTTTCTTAGAGAATTAACAGAAGAGAATAAGCATGGGCTAAAGATATCTTTTAAATGAGTCAAACGAGAACAGAGGCTCTCAAACTTCATTGTGCCGCAACCCCCTTCTGACAACAAAAATTACTACATCATCTGGGGAGGGGAAGGGGGGAGAGGAAGGGAGGGCAAAAGCCTTAGCCCTGCTGTCTCAGGCGGGGGTACAGGGTAGAAGCCCAAGGGCTTCAGTACAGGTGCCCAGAGCTGAAGATGAAGCCTGTGCCTTACCACCCAGGGCTGAAGCCAGTGGATGAATCTATCCCCACAAAGGTTATCTGGACAATGCATCAGTAAGGTCCTATTTAAACTTCCCAGCCCAGGCTTTTATAAGCTATACCTGGCCTGGTATGGATCTGCTGCACAAGACTGATTTTTTTCCCAGTCTGAAGGAAGCAAAGACAAAAAAACCCAAAGAATCTCTGGGAGACTGCTGAGGATTCAAAAGGACTTGAGATACATTTGTATTTTAATGGGAGCAGAATAGAGATATAAAGGCCAGAAGATGACGGAGAAAGATTATAATGGAAATTGTAGAGATGCAGCATGAGACTACAGAACACTATGCAAATTAAAAAATTATGCTAAACAACCACTGATTTTAAAATGTGCAGCTGATAGAGCACAGTAGAACTAATGAAAGAACTGAACCCCTCTCCCCCACCTCAGAGCAGATTTGCAAGAACCTTGGGACAAATGAATTATTATACAATACTCTTGGATTTTTTGTGCACAGTGACCACAACTTTGAATATATTGGCGCTTTTATTAAAGCTGATCTCCAGCAGACCAAAAGAGTATTAATGGGATGAAATTAAGAAAGTAAAAATTCAGACTGAATACTTACACACTTGATTAATAATTTGCATGGTCTAATTCAGGCTCTAAACAGTAGGAAAAACCCATCTCCTTCTCAAAGTAGTTTGGCATATTAAAACTAGACTGGATAAAGCACTAGTAAATGTAACATAGGGAAGCGTCCCACACTGACAGAGATGAGGACTAGCTGACCAAGTAGGTCATTTGCACGTCTAATGTCATTGTATGATACATTAGAAACTAAATACATTTCCTAAACTATGTGAATTTTAGAAGTCGTGCATTCTTGAACTCTAACAAACAGGCTACAAAACAAATATTCTCTGAATGATATAAAATAGGAAATAAAGTTAAGGTTCTTAATATTGCATTGCTCATAATAATAATAATCAAGTCCAAGTAACTACATTGAATACAATTTCCTAAATAGACAAAATGGCATAAACTGTCAGTAGATAATTTATTAAGTGCCTTGAGATGAAGTAGTTCCCCTCCTGCATAAATATTTTCTAATCAACTAACTACTGATCAAATAACTACTTATATAAATCAGATCATCCCTCTATTGGACTTCTACACCCACAATGACATAAAGGAGAGAAAACTGTGCATCACTATTGCACAGGTAAGCAGATATGAATTTTATTTATTTTTGCATTTATTCCTGTGAAAAGCACAACTTTTACTTTCATTTCTGACTTATTTGGGGAGGCAGGAAAAGGGAATAAGGGAATTTGTGTGCAGCCATCTTGGTCTTGTATACAAGAGAGCAAGAGTCAGGCTAAGTCTGTGGCCTGACATCGCAAGATCTGTAATTAGACGCTGCCTTCGCCTCTCGCCTCCATACGGAGATAAGGATAGAATGCTGACTCTGGCAGGGACCTTGAGATAAGGAGCATCTGGGTGGAACTAAATAACTGTTAGCCATTGGTGTTTATAATGGGAAGGAGACTAATTGTTATTGTTATTATATTTAATAGACAGTATATAAACTGCTTCATAATTGCTTGTATTCGAAGATCTGCCTTGGAAGGGGGGGGGCTTCCCCCCCCCCCCTTGTCCGAACCAGTTTTTCCCTTGCTGCAGCTCATAATAAAACTGCCTCTGGCTACTTGTTGCTTACAAACGCAGAGTGAAGACAATGTTTTCTTCCACATATTGAAACTCGTTTACTGTTACTACTGCCAACACAACTGAACAGGCAAATACAGAAAAACTGCTGATGTACAATCAACTAAATCTTCACTCCTTTGTTCTCAGGGTCTACATTCGCTTTTCTTTAAGTTAGACAGCACACTACACAGCACACAGTCTTGGGCTGGAATATCTGAGCAATGACATCATGGAGTGTGCAGGAAGATGTTTATTCCCAAGGAACTGGGAATAAACTCAAATAGATAGATATCAAAATAGAACTAGAAAAGTTTCAAACCTTTGGACAACTTGACAAAACAGCATCCTGGAACACTAATTACATCCATCTAAAAACAGAGCAGATATTTATATCTTAAACCATGTACGAAAAAACTAATTTTTTGTGTGTACTAATTGAAAAAAAAAAGTACTCTGAGTATAATTATGGCAAAATGATGAATATCTAATATTATGAAACATGCTACATATTCATAACTCATTACAAACAAAAACTGAACAAGTTCTCTGTAGAGTTAGGAAAACAAACATATTGTGCTTCAAACACACTCCTGAAAGGTCACTGTCAACTCAAGTTGAGCCAAATATTTAGGATTTTGTAAAAATGGGCTTTTGCAAAATTTAAAACCTTTGGAAACATTAATCTTTTTTTCCAATTCCAAAAGAAATAGTCACTATAAGCCTATAAATAGTCCCTTGCACAGCTGAGAACAGCTGACAAACGCTACAGAATTGAAATCACGTAAGCGACTATAAACAGAAGTTCAAATAGCTTTATTAATTTTCCTTAACTGAAAAAAGAAATTTCAAATAGTTAAAAAATAATTAATTTCAAAAATGCTTTTTAATTTAATAATTTAGTGATAGTAAGAAGAAAATACATTTGTAAACTGTCAGTTTTTGAAGATGACAGCATCCCTTTAAATCCTAATCTCTAAGGGTCGTTTAGCATTATGCAGCTCTGTAACAGAAAAATCTCACAGCATATAAGTGCTCATCTATTTATCCTATTCCTACATTTGTCCAGATGACAGCCAAATATAGGGGGAATTATAATAATATCCATTGCCATTCTCTGCAGAAGGCTGATCCTGGTTCATCACATCCAAAAACTGATTTAAGCAGCTGTAGAAGCTATTTTTGGAGTTCCTCCCTTAATCCAGTTCTTACAACCATGGACACTGACATTCCAGGTAGGTGACATTTTTATTCATTGCTGGTCATGAATCCCGCCCTTAACCAAACACATGTGAAGCTCCATTCTGATGAGTTGGTGGTTCACTCTGCTGAAGCTTTACTTCTTATAAAGTGTCACATAAGAGCTGGATAAAAATAGGCAGCAAATATAACCTAGGAATGAAGTAAAACCCTTGTAACATTACAATTATACTTTCTCTACTCTCATATGCACCTACTGATATCTGCATGTCAATAATATTTAACTGAACAATATAGTGAAGTCAGCAGATAATCTAAGAGTAGGTACCTAGGAAAACTCAGAATGCACAGATCTGTAACAGTAGATTTAATTTAAGAGTTACTACTACATCTCCAAACTTTTATTGTTTAGCTCACACTGCTGCTGACAACATGCAAGACAATTCCAATGTCCAGATATAAAGCTATAAAGACAACTTAGGCATTCCAAGAAAACCCATCTGCTCCTGGGGCAGGTTTTACACTGAAAGAGTTCAGACACTACAGTTACGATATGCCAGTTTTGTACATAATTTGCTATTGTTCACATTGAGGACATTTGCAACCTCCAACTCATCTTTTTGCTACCATCTCTTCAACAATGTCTTAGTATTTCCTTAATGCCAACACACTAATTATTTTTAGAAAAACAAAAGAATACTATGCATATCATGGAAGACAATTAACTTGAATCTTATTTAGTGTGTATCCCACTCTTCTCCTCTGCTGTAATCTCTCTGAGTTACTGTATGTATATCACCAAAGTTGTAAATTCCTTGAGTTTCATTCTCTAGGCAAAGCACCATACACAGCTAATTATAGCACTATACAGAAATCTTAAATAACTACATTATTTCCACAAATATTGGAAGAAACAATGAAACCTGAGAAACACAAAAATTCCACTGGAGCGCAAAGAGACAGGAAGAAAAGATGAGAAACAGATATAATTTATGTTATAAACTGCAGATGACTCACATAATGCTGCAACTAGTATTAAATTATTGCTAGCCAAGGCTGAATGAGAGTTTGACAGAAGAAGAATAGCAGTTTTATACATAGAAATATATTAATTGACTATTCAATCATGCTGCTGTACAGTTTCAGAGCCTGGAAAAGATCCCTGGTGGTTCTTCTAATTAGTTTGCCTCATTAAAATGACCTGAAGTAAACATGAAGCAGCAGGCACCTGTCCATCCCACAGAATAACAGACTATATTTTGTTCATGATAGCCTCACAAAAAACAAAGGCACAAAACACAGCCTTGCAAAAAACAGCTACAAAATGGACCACAAATCCTCAGTGCATGATTTACAACAAGCATGTGACAAAACCTATTCACAAACATACATAATAAGACACTGGGGTGAAATCCCGGCTTCAATGAAATCAGAAGCAGAACTCCCATTGACTCTGGTGAGGGCTAGGATTTCAATCTAGACATTTATCCAATAAAATGAGGGGAGTAAATATGTGAGGCCTAATTCTCATCTCAGTTACACTTACGTAAATCCAGAGTATGTCCAGTGAAGTCAATAGATTTACAGTGGGAATAACTAAAGTCAGACCTTGGTCCATGAGGATAATATTTGGCAGAACCACTGCTATGACATTCCTCCTGTGTACAATATGCTACAAGTAGTCCCACTGAAATCAACAAGAGCTAATTTCAGGGTACTGAGAACTTTTGAGTTGATATTAATGCTCTATTAACTTTCATAGGGAGTTTTGCTTACTAATAATTATTAGTAGTAATACTGTAGCACTTATGAGCCCTGGTCATGGATCAGGACTCCATTGTTCTAGGTGCTATACAAACACAGAACAAAAAGTCCCTGCCCCAAGGGGTTACAATATAGCCTTAGGAGGATTGACTTCTTTTGTGCCTATACTTACTTAATTTATATTGTGTTTTGTCATAAGTCCAAGCCCCTATCCTGCCAACATTTATGCATCTACTTAACTTCATGCACTGTAAGTAGTTCCATTTAAGTCAATGGGACTATGCACAGTGTGTCAAGTTAAATTGTAAACTGTGCAGGAGCAGGCTGTACATTGTAAGCAGTCTGGGTCAGGCACTGTCTTACTACATGCCTGTATAACAGCTAGCAAAATACAACTTTAATTATTGATTGGGGGCCTTCGATTTTACAGTTATACAAACAATAATAAAATAGATGACATAGTAACTAACTTATGACTCTATCCTCCCACTTTTATTCATGCTGAATATCAGCATTTTAGTTCATGGCAGCCTTATTGATCTCAGGCCCTGAGAAAAATTCTAACAGAGCTTCATGCTAGACAACTTGCTGGACCTATTCTAGCATTTCATTTAGTAGCACAGTGACCAAATATTGCCACAGCAACTACAATAATAACATGCTACTGTATTTCCTGCATATGCAAGCACATTCCTCCGCTGTACCTGTAGTCACAGAGCTTGGGTTGGGTGCCACACTGCTGCTTGCATATGACACAATAGCTGCACAGTGGGACGTTGCCTCGGATCCAGCGATGTGCCATAGAGGTGGGGACTTCATCACTCCTCATCATAATTTCCTTGCAGAGGAAAAGCTTGTCAGCCTTCTTGAGACACTCTTCGTTGACACACAGCCCACAGCAGTTGCAAAAAGCTCCCTGCAGAATGTGCTGGGCACACACACAGCAATAGGTTGGCTGGCCAAAGAGGTCTGTGTAGTGCCAATCATGCTTGCTCTTGTGGAAGATGTCCTGCCTCAGCACCTGCCTCCGGGATCGCTGGATGCTGCACCACAAGGTGATCAGTACTGGCAAGATCACTGAGCACAGAGTCCAGAAGGCCAAACTCCACTCTGCAAACACTCCCGTGGGGGGACTGCTGTTTTCCTCCCTTTCCATCCCTTTTGGATTTTAGCTTTCCCTGTCTAAATGGTCAAATTAAACAAGACAAGTAGGGCTAACTTGGGTCTCACTTCTAGGATCCTGTGGGTGGGTTTAGGAACCATTGTTTATTGCATGCTTTAACTTATTATTATACTCCCTTTCCCCCTGAAGCTTGACTCAACTCATCAGACTGGATATCATTATAACAAGAGTAGGGTAATTAACCTCTGCTTTTCTTTCCATCCTGGCATTATCCTGAAAACCTCTCTTCCTCCTTCTGGCCTGATATACCAATTACTATCAGAACATGCACCCTTCTTGTGAGACACCTGCTCCTACATCACTTTTCCTGATGTAAAGTCTTATTCTCCCAGTAACTCCCTCCCACTACAAGGGGTATGAGAATTAACCTCTCCTGTCCTTCATTCAGGTCCCCTTGCCCAAGACTGGTCTAACTACTACTACACCCCCACCCTTTTTGGCCCTTGTTTACTTCACCCAGCTCCCCTTTTCATCAAGTCTAGCTTTAAATCCCCATCACAGGAAACCCCTGGTGTAAGAGTGCCCCCCCACTAACAACTTGCTCCTCTTGGGGTTTCTCTCACCCCCAGCTATCCTCTCTCTTCCGGCAGCCCCAGGAAAAGGCAGAGGGGCACAGCAGAGAGGAGGCAGGCAGGCAGCCCCAGGAAAAGGCAGAGGGGCACAGCAGAGAGGAGGCAGGCAGGCAGCCCCAGGAAAAGGCAGAGGGGCACAGCAGAGAGGAGGCAGGCAGGCAGCCCCAGGAAAAGGCAGAGGGGCACAGCAGAGAGGAGGCAGGCAGGCAGCCCCAGGAAAAGGCAGAGGGGCACAGCAGAGAGGAGGCAGGCAGGCAGCCCCAGGAAAAGGCAGAGGGGCACAGCAGAGAGGAGGCAGGCAGGCAGCCCCAGGAAAAGGCAGAGGGGCACAGCAGAGAGGAGGCAGGCAGGCAGCCCCAGGAAAAGGCAGAGGGGCACAGCAGAGAGGAGGCAGGCAGGCAGCCCCAGGAAAAGGCAGAGGGGCACAGCAGAGAGGAGGCAGGCAGGCAGCCCCAGGAAAAGGCAGAGGGGCACAGCAGAGAGGAGGCAGGCAGGCAGCCCCAGGAAAAGGCAGAGGGGCACAGCAGAGAGGAGGCAGGCAGGCAGCCCCAGGAAAAGGCAGAGGGGCACAGCAGAGAGGAGGCAGGCAGGCAGCCCCAGGAAAAGGCAGAGGGGCACAGCAGAGAGGAGGCAGGCAGGCAGCCCCAGGAAAAGGCAGAGGGGCACAGCAGAGAGGAGGCAGGCAGGCAGCCCCAGGAAAAGGCAGAGGGGCACAGCAGAGAGGAGGCAGGCAGGCAGCCCCAGGAAAAGGCAGAGGGGCACAGCAGAGAGGAGGCAGGCAGGCAGCCCCAGGAAAAGGCAGAGGGGCACAGCAGAGAGGAGGCAGGCAGGCAGCCCCAGGAAAAGGCAGAGGGGCACAGCAGAGAGGAGGCAGGCAGGCAGCCCCAGGAAAAGGCAGAGGGGCACAGCAGAGAGGAGGCAGGCAGGCAGCCCCAGGAAAAGGCAGAGGGGCACAGCAGAGAGGAGGCAGGCAGGCAGCCCCAGGAAAAGGCAGAGGGGCACAGCAGAGAGGAGGCAGGCAGGCAGCCCCAGGAAAAGGCAGAGGGGCACAGCAGAGAGGAGGCAGGCAGGCAGCCCCAGGAAAAGGCAGAGGGGCACAGCAGAGAGGAGGCAGGCAGGCAGCCCCAGGAAAAGGCAGAGGGGCACAGCAGAGAGGAGGCAGGCAGGCAGCCCCAGGAAAAGGCAGAGGGGCACAGCAGAGAGGAGGCAGGCAGGCAGCCCCAGGAAAAGGCAGAGGGGCACAGCAGAGAGGAGGCAGGCAGGCAGGCAGCCCCAGGAAAAGGCAGAGGGGCACAGCAGAGAGGAAGCAGGCAGGCAGGCAGGCAGCCCCAGGAAAAGGCAGAGGGGTACAGCAGAGAGGCGGCAGGCAGGCAGCTGGAGGGCCCCAGGAAAAGGCAGAGGGGCTCAAGAAAGAGGAGGGGAAGGAGGCAGGGCAAAGCAAAAACCCTTCTGGTGCAGGGGCTGGAAATGAATTCTCTGCCCACAGAGAGAAGGCCCCTCGGGCACAGGGGCCAGGCCCTGCTGCAAACACTCACCCCTCTAAACACACAAGGCCAGATTCTGCGGTGGACTCCGCAGGCATGATTTGGTAGCCACTGCAGATGTTTCGCACTAGAAGGCAGAATCCAGCCCCAGGGGCCAGGGCTCTGTAACTCGGACAACAACGCACAGGGCTTCACTGGTGAATTATCAGGGCCTGATCCCTCAATTCCGAAGTACTGAACCGGCTGCGTAAAGATTCTCACACTTTCCTTTTGTTAAGGTGACCAGAATTTGAAAATGTGCGAGGAGGACACTGAGTTGACAAAAAAACCCACCTTGTATATGGATATAAATAATCATATAAATAAATGATCACGATATTAGTCGTCTTATAAGACAAACAGATTGAAAAACAATCATATAACATTAAAAACATCAATATTTTTCGCTCTTTTAAGAAATTAAAAATCTCAATCCATTTTTTATCGATTTCGCATTCAGTCCATTCATTGTATTTTATTATATTGTTAATTCTTCGTACTTCGTCTAACAATAAATTGTCATTTATTGTGATGCTAAATTTTTCTTTAACTAATAAAACTGTTTCAAGGATTTTATTCCATTGAATTTCTTCATTCAGCAGAATCCAATCAAACACATACACTGGTTCGTCATGCTTTGTCCAATTTTCTAGATATTCAAGAGCATTTTTATAAAAACTCATCGCCTCCCTCATAAATTCTTTCTTCATTCCCGGATTGCTCTATTGTAATTTGTTTAAATTAGTAATTACAACCAATGGAAGGAAGTTGGACTCAAGACATGACTGAAGTTGCTCCTTGAATTGTTTAATATGCAATCCCACTTCTGTAGAAGTTATATGCTCTTTTTCAATACTTTCTTTAACTGACTGGAACAAAGTTGATTGATTGTGAACAAAATACAGAGTTACTTCAGCAGATTCATTCTTTAAAAAGTTTTTCAAGATCAGTGGACATTTTTCCAAACTTAGAAAATATGAATTTTACTGTATATTAAGCCTTTTAACAGGGGTTCAATTGCAGTATAATGATACTTTAAAAAACAGCGGGATATATTTTTTTTGGCAAAGTAGGACAAGAAGGACAATTTTTTTCAAAAGAGGACATAATTATTGGGGAGGACAAGCCCCTCAAAAGGAGGAATGTCCTCCTCAAAGGAGGATGTCTGGTCACCTTACTTTTGTAAACTCCAGTTGGGTTTTGCAAGAGCCCACCAAAGGTGGATTTTCAGCCATTCACACAGAAGTGCAGTCCAGCAACTCCACAGTACATTCAATGGCTAGAAAATATAGCGGAAATCCTGAACAAAGAAAACACGGGCTATGTCTAGACTGGCATGATTTTCCGCAAATGCTTTTAACGGAAAAGTTTTTCCGTTAAAAGCATTCGCGGAAAAGAGCGTCTAGATTGGCACAGATGCTTTTGTGCAAAAGCACTTTTTGCGGAAAAGCGTCCATGCCAATCTAGACGCGGTTTTGCGCAAGAAAGCCCCGATCGCCATTTTCACGATCGGGGCTTTTTTGCGCAAAACAATACCGCGTTGTCTTCACTGGCCCTCTTGCGCAAAAGCATTTGCGCAAGAGGGCTTTTGCCCAAATGGGAGCAGCATAGCATTTCCGCAAGAACATTGACAATCCTACATTAGATCGTCAGTGTTCTTGCGGAAATTCAAGCGGCCAGTTTAGACTGCTGGTAAGTTTTTCCTCAAAAGCAGCTGCTTTTGCAGAAAAATTTGGCAGTCTAGACGCAGCCAGGGTCTCTCCCGCTGGTTAAGTGGGTAGGCTTATATTGTTGAACTTTTCTTTTTGTTACCTCAGATATAAAGAATTTTTCTCAAAATTCCATTATATAGCTGTGAACAGAAATTATGATTTAATTCTGCACTGAGACTCCCCCCACCCCATTTTTAGTTTCAGTTTATTTCTAGTTCTTGAGCTTGTCCTCCCCTCAGTCAGACTTTTCTGTATTCTAGAAGCTGCTCGCTACCACAGTTGTTCTATATGATGAAGAGGTTTTGATCCATGAAAGCTTATGTCCAAATAAATCTGTTAGTCTTTAAGGTGCCACAGGGCTCCTTGTTGTTTTCACACATACAGACTAACACGGCTACCTCTCTGAGACTTATTATCACTTTGGTGGTGTTCTCTTTTTAGGATAAGTTCAGGATGGATTGAATCTTGTGATGGAAAATGGGTGTATATAAAAGCTGCACAAATATCATGGATTAAGCCTTTGGCCAAGTTGCAGCTCTATGGACATCTCCTGTGCTGAGTTCTACTGTCAAGGATGGAAATCACCAGCATAAAGTTTAAGTGATGCTAGGGCATGGGCGAGCAATAAATTTTGAAGGGGGGGCCACGTCACAAATTTCTGAAGTGGTCACAGGCAATCCCATAAGGGGCAGGGCCTTGGGTGGAAGGGGTGGGGCCAGGAGGCTTCCCATGTTCCCCCATTCACAGACCCTAGGGCAAGGGATTTGGGTGCAGGAGGGCTTGTGAGGGAATTTGGATGAAGGAGGCAGTTGTGAGCTGGGGTATGGGATGGGGGTTGTAACCTAGGGCAGGGGACTGAGGTGCAGCAGGGAAAATAGGGGTTTGGGTTGTGATCTAGGGCAGGGGATTACAGTGCAGGGATTTGGGTTGTGACCTAAGGCAGGAGGGGATTGTGATCTGGGGCAGAGGAATGGGGTGCAGGGTCTGGGAGGGGGTATAGGCTCAGGAAGGGGGCAGAGGGTGTGGCTTATGTGGGATAGGGTGTAGGAGTTGGACGGCAGAAGGCACGGAGGGGCTGGGGTGTCAGAGGCAGGGTCTGACCACGAGACTTACCAGTAAGACTCCCGGCCAGCAGCCCAGCTCCTTTCTCAGGCAGGAGCCTACCCTACCCCTGCACATGCTCTGTGAATAAAAGCCTGAGGTGAGAGGAGAGTGGTGCTTTGTGTGCTGCCTGTTTAAAAATGACCGGCCAATGGGATTGTGCTCAGAGTAGGAGCAACCATGAAGCACTACTTCCCCCTCCCCTCCAGGCTCACAGTTTGTGGAACACAAGCAGCCCAGCAGCCACTTCTCTGAGTGGTGTGTGGGGGTGGGGCAAGCAGGGCAGTCTGCCTGAGACTCCCTGCTGCATCTGCAGGCTGGATCTGGTGGCTTGGCGGGCCAAATCCAGCACACAGAACGGGTTTTGCCCAGACCTGTACTGAGCCAAGCCATGTTGCATTAAAGGAGGCTAACTTTGCCCTCTCCTGAGTTTCAAAGCACTCTGCTTTCTTTCTACCTCCAGAAGTTGGGGTTTAGGAAAACCCCAAACAGCAGGGCAAAACACTGGTTCCTGACTGTTTCCCTCATAGTTTATCATTCTTCTTCTTATGCCTTTGCAGAAGAAGCGGCCTGAATTTGACTCATAATCTATTATTTTACAAATAATACACTCCTCGTGCGATCATTTTTCCAGATAGCAGAGGAGCTGACAGCCTGGAGGCAGCCCCAGTAGCCCCAAGCCAGAGTCCCTGTGGAAGTGGGGCCAGAGCCCTCAGTCTACCAGAGGACTAGGACAAGAGCCCAAGCCCTCGGCATCCCAAATGGGGCTACAGCCAGTCCTCCGCAGTCCGCGGCAGCATGGAACCAGAGCCTGTGATAGCCTGCTGCAGTGCAGGCTGCCGGAGCACAGCAGGCAGTCCAGTTGGGGAAGTGGCAGGAGGGCCAGCAACCCAGCAGGCAGCCCTGTAGGGGCTGGAGGTAGTTCTCTGCTTTCCCATCCCCTGCTTCTGGAGCTGGCAGAGTTGACAGCTAGGGGTTGTGGCAGGGAACCTTCTCTAGTCCAGCAAATTCCCTGGTTCAGGATCGGATAAGTTCTGAAAGTGCTGGATAAGAGATGTCCAACCTGTACAATAGTTCAGTTTTTAGAAAGGCAGAAACCTGTAAGCTATTTTTTTTTATGAAAACTATATTTTTACTACTATATGAGGCATCTATCAATCTGCCAGGTGTGTCCTCTTCCCATCACTTTATGTTACCTAGCAAGGATATTTACTATCTTGTCCATTGATTTTCCCTGTAAAGAGTAGAATTAAATGAGTATAATTCCCCTTATTCTGTCCATTTGATAAACTCCCCATACTACAGCTATGGTAGTTTGACTCTGCAATAGTTAAACCAATATATTAAGATATAACAGTGTTAAATAAGGTCATATACACAGCGCCTGTTGACACAGGGGCCCTCCAATGCCTTCCTGCCATATTAAGGCTTAGGAGTCTAGGTTTGGTTTTTTTTAAATATATTTTTCTTAAATCACACTATTAAAACTACATCTTGCCATGTTGAAAGTAATGCAATGTGTTTTATCTTAACAAATAAAAATATGTAGTGTAGCTTCAAAAACCACAGTGGAATAGTAAGCTTTTCTATTTTCTTTTGCTAGGAACAGAGAAGGGTTAAGTTGAAAAGAGTCATATTCAAAAAAACTCAGACCCAGATGTCTTCAAAGTCAAAATCATAGCGTAAGTCAAATTATTCAAAGCATAAACAAACATCTATGACTGACGTAGCTGCTTCAAGTAGGCTAATACCTCAGTCAGTGTTATTCATTTGGTTACAGGCTGAGAGAAAGAAGAATCAAAATGAAGAAGTTATTTGTGTTTGTCTTCATTTTGGTCACCCTGACCATTTTTACAGGTAGGAGTTCATATAAAATAAATCTGCTGATGTTCATAGAGCATAGTTCATGTCCACAGCGCAGAGCATATGGTAATAATATTCATGTTTTAACCTTGTCTTTAAATAACTTAATATGTCCCTTTTAAAACCAGTTACAATATAACAGCATTAAATATCACATTATACTGCAGTCTTCTGGTAATATTTTTACTACTATACTAGGCATTATATCTCTGAATCATGACTCTGGAGTCATTATTAAAAAAATTAAAAGATTTTTAATTTATAAATCTACATTTTTACATCACTTACTATTTCACCATATAATGCAATTTCGCTTTGTCTTAATACTTATTTTAACAAAAGTCTGACAAGCTAGCTTTGTTTTGAGAAATAGTAATAAAAAGTAGTGCAACATGGAAATGTTTTTAACAAAAAATTGGCGGGATTAATGGCTATCTTAAATAGGTTGGTGTGTGAAGTTATATTTTTCTCATTTTGTGCAGGTTTTGTAATAATATGGTAGTGTTCTGAGTAGGTTTTGCATATTGTTAGTACGCTAGCTTATATAAAGCACATATATATTTTAAAATTGTTTAAAATTACACTCATCTCTTCTGGAATGCAATATCCCTTGGGAAGGGGCTGTAATGAAAGAACACTTTGTGTATTGACAAAAATCAGATTTGAAAACCCTTCACCATGGACCTGAAAGATAAAATATTAACTTCTTGTTACTTTCATACTGTATTTCTTCTTCCCCCCTCCTTTAGATGCTTCACCTATTTTGACTGAAAAAGAAGCTAAACAGATTCTGAGAACTCGTCGTGAAGATAGACCAAGAAAAGCTGGTTTCCCTGATGAGCCAATGAGGGTGATTTTTCATTTTTATTTAAAAACTGAATACACTAAAACAATTCATTGTATTTAGTGCTTAACATTGTATTTGCATAGATACACTGATCGAAAAGAATCCTATCTCGTTGCAAATGCCACTCTTTTAAACAATGGAGTGAAATATTTCTTAAACCCTTTTGCACTCTTTAAACTATTGTGGGGTAGCATTCTCTGAATTATGAATATACCTTGGGACTGTGCATACGTGCAAAGTGTGGCGGTTGTCTATAATCTACGTCTGTCATCATTCTGAAATGTAGACGCAATAGCTGACAAAAAATAGCTTTTCATCTGTACAAACATTTAGTTCATCATGTTATAGCTGTAAAATTAAACTCACTACGGAAGATAATTTGCTTGCTTTACATTTTGTGCAGAAAGCTGGCAGAGGGATGTAGGTGTCAGTGGACAGTGTGGAGATTTAGGTAGCTCGGGACTGACTTTAAAATCCATTTTGCTGCATCCATTAATATTTTAGACAACTCCAAGGATAGGTTTATATACTAAGAGACTGTACACTTTTTTTAATTGTTAGAGCAAAGTCATTGTGTTGTTTTTAAACATAGTATTTTATATAATTTGCTTAGTAAGCACAGTAAAAAACAAAGGAATATATTAAAAAAAAAAGGCAGAGAGGCACCTTCCAGTTTACTTGGTTTTGATAGGGAGTGTGCTATAGCCCCAGACTTCTCAAAATCTACTTACAGCATTTTAAAATTACTACATATTTCTCTCCAAAATAAATAAACTATGTTAAAATTATATGGTTGTAAAGAGGCTAAAAGCCACAGAAGCCAGAAAGCGGACAATAGACCATGCATATACGATGAGCGTAATGGGCTTAATCTGACAAGGTGCTGAGTACACCTCACGTCAGCGGGAGTTAAGGGCACTCAGCACCTTGTAGACTTGAGCCAGTGTGTACAGAATATGTGGCTGGAGAAGGCTGGTAGTTCTCGCTCACCTGGTTAGTGCACTCTAGCCAGGAATAACCCATCTGGCAATCAGGGATAGCTGAATTTACAACTCTGCCCCACTTACATACTCTCCTCTTTGTCTCCCACTTTGGCATCGACACATCAATCCTGATACAATGATTCTTCCAACATCAGAGTGCCTGAGACAATGGAAGCCATAACCCCACATGGCAAACTGCAGTAAAAAACACACTCCACAGCTGACCCTCCATATCCTGGTTTCTACTAGCTTCAAACTGCCCTCAAAGCAGCCTCATTCAGCTGCAGGAAATTAGCAGGAACCTAGAACCCACCTAAAATGATATAAGCAATTAAATATACAGGCAGTCCCTGGGTTACGTACAAGATAGGGACTGTAGGTTTGTTCTTAAGTTGAATTTGTATGTAAGTCAGAACTGGTACATATTGTAGGGGAAACTCTAGCCAAACATTTCTCCAGAGCTCAGCTTTATTCTCCCACACCTCACTTCCCTCAGTCCTTTATTCTCAAGCTGAGGTGTCTGCTGAGAAAAGCCGCTCCGGGTCTCCCTGGTCTGCTGGGGGAGGGGGGCGCTAGCTTTGCATCTCCCTGGTCTGCTGGGGGGAAGCAGCTAGTGCGGGGTTGCCTCACCCCGTTTGTAAGTAGGGATCCGATGTAAGTCGGATCCATGTAACCCGGGGACTGCCTGTAATAGGATAGACTGGAAACAATGGATTGGATAAATGCTGGCATAAACAGTATGTTACATAAAACTTGTGATCCATCATCCAGGTAAGATGTAATAGTTTAACTCCGCGTTTGTCAAACTGTGGATCCCGACCCTCCGGGAGGTTGCAAGCAACTTGGGGGGGAAGAGGGGGCGTCACGAGCAACTTAGAGGGGGGTTGCAGCAACTTAGAGGGGGGTCGTGGTATCACAAAGTTTGAGAACCCCTGGTTTAGCTGATGCTTATCAGTTTCTGTTCTGATTAAACTCCCACAGCACAGCCGGCTCCCCTCTTACACTACAGAGCCCGCAGTGTGGGGCAGCTGGCTCCGTGCTGGAAGCGGGGCTGGTGACCTGGGAGTGGGGCTAACAGAATCCACAAAGCCTCCAGCTGCTTGCCCCGCTCCTGGGGAGCCAGCTGCCACGCTGCGCTGTAGGTGGTGCAGTATAAGCCTGGGAGCCGCCAGGGCATCCCTCACCATCTTTCCTTCCTTAGTCCCACCCAGCCATAGATCCATAAAAACAGTTAACCGTGTAACTGCTAGGAGTTTTAACAGTCACATGGTTACTATTTTTAAAATCTTTCTTACATTCCTACATCCAAGGCAGCTGAAATTCACACAGCCTTCACAGCTGGTCCTAGGAAATGAGCTAGAGTAATGACTGCTGCCTCTTGTCCCCACTTGCATGGGGGTTTTAAGATTATACAAGCCACACAGCAGTGGATCTCTGTTCACTGCTGGTCTGGCTTTGCCCTCTCCCCAGTGCACTTTCCACACCATTAAGGCTGGTTGAAAAATTTCTGTTGAAGCTTTTCCTTTTAACGAAACATTGAGTTTTAGACTAAACAGACATTCCCACAGAAAAGTCTGCTTTCTGCAGAAAGAGGAAGCTTTTCATTAACCTCCCACATCTTTGGGTTTGGATGAAAAATTTTAATTTTCCAGAAGAAACAAATCCATTTTCCCATCAGTTTTCCATACCATCCTGCGCTGAGAATGGAGATTTCCCCTTCTCTGCACATACGGGTGCAGAGGGTCCCCTTGTGCATCTCTGGCAGCATCCTGCATTGTCTGACCACAGAGTTTAAGTGGTCCTTTGCACCAGGGTGAAATTTACACTGGGATGAGCATATTTGCTAAACAACCTCTGTTAATTTAAGTAAATGGTTTATATAATAAGCCAGCTCATGCTCATTCTGGGCTGAAGAAGAGCTGTGTAAACTCAATAGCTTGTCTCTTTCATCAACAGAAGTTGGTCCAATAAACACTATTACCTCATCCCACTATTACCTCTCTACAGTCCTTTTAGTTTGCTAAGCTCTGAAGAGCAATTAATCAGCCATCCCTTCGCAGATCATGTGTACTAAGGAGAAAATACATCCTGTTTAAATGTTGATGGACACTCAAACCTAGTGCAAATGAAAGAGAAAGGATTTTACCCTTAATGTTCTCCGCATTTCCTCTGACTCCCAAAGCAGCCAGAATGCTATGAGATAGCTGATTACATTTGTGCATCTTACTTAGGGGGCTAAAGGGAAAGTTTATTGTCTATATCCATTAATACTACATTTCCTAAGGAGAGGAATTTAATGTGCCTAATTTAAATGTTAGCTATATTCAACATGTCATCAATTTTTTTCTTTTTTACATAAGCCTTCTTTCCCTCCCCCACAACTAACCAAACCAAAGAATAGTTAATAACCAATGTATCTGTACTCCCGCCTCACTACTCCATGTTGCTGGCCCTGCTGTTGGTAGGGGCTTTTCCGTCCAGGGCCGGGATTCCCAGGCACCACCTGGTCCAGCCGCTGCTGACCCAGCTGAGGCTCTCCAGCCCCTTGCGGGACTCCTGGCTGGCTCCTGCTCCAGGGCTCTTTGGTCCAGCAATATCTATGGTTCTGCTGGACCACAGATGTTGCCGGTCCAGAGAGTCCCAGATTTGAGAAGTTCAACCTGTAGTACTAAAGCTAGGCAAATATTTTACCACACTGTGTGAAACTGTTGGGGCAATTGAAAAATTGGAAAGCAGAGAACTTGAGGTGTTGTCTACTACTACTGGGAAAAAGCATTGGATTCAGTTCTCAAACTGTGGGTTGAGACCCCAAAGTGGGACGTTTTAATGGGGTTGCCAGGGCTGGCATTAGATTTGCTGGGATCCAGGGCCAAAGCTTGTGCCCCACCCACCGAATTAGGGCCGAAGCCAAAGAGCAAGCTCCCCCATCCAGGGTCAAAGGCCAAGGCCTTCATCCATTTGTGGCAGGGCTCAAGCTACAGGCCTCCCTCCTGGGGAGGAAATCGTTGGGCTTAAGCTCCCCTTTGCCCCCTGCCTGGGGCAGTGGGGTGCAGGCAGGCTCATAATTGGTCTCCACACCTGGGATCATGAAGTAATTTTTGTTGTCAGAAGGGGGTTGCGGTGCAATGAAGTTTGAAAACCCCTGGTTGGAAAACATGTTTTAATGCAATGACGGTAGCCAGTGTAGATTGTCTTGAGGTGGAGAACTATCACACGTTTCATTTTGTGCAAAATATATTTTTTTCAAACACCTCTTATTGAAAGGTGATTATCTGTGGTATAAACATCTGATTAGTAAAATGAGTAGCTAGTCTTCTGGTGAGACACTGCTTTGTTATCTCACATCAAATCGATAGAAGATGTGGCTGTAGAGTAATATATTCAGCTGTGAAAGTAACATATTTCTCGGCTACCTGCCTGTGGCGAGATCTAATGGCTGCTGAGCGTTTTCATTTCTGAATGCTGAAAATGCACTGGATTTTATTTTGCAGACGAGGGATTCTGCTCCCAATGAAAACAAGGGGGTCTGCTCCCAATGAAATTGACTGGGAGGGTTCTAATGCTTTTCACCGAGGCTACGTCTAGACTGGCATGATTTTCCGCAAATGCTTTTAACGGAAAAGTTTTCCATTAAAAGCATTTGCAGAAAAAGCGTCTAGATTGGCACGGACACTTTTCCGCAAAAGCACTTTTTGCGGAAAAGCCTCCGTGCCAATCTAGACATGCTTTTGTGCAAAAAAGCCCCGATCGCCATTTTCGCGATCGGGGTTTTTTTGCGCAAAACATATCTGAGCTGTCTACACTGGCCCTTTTGTGCAAAAGCTTTGCGCAAAAGGACTTTTGCCCGAACGGGAGCAGCATAGTATTTCCGCAAGAAGCACTGATTTCAGACAGTAGGAAGTCAGTGTTCTTGCGGAAATTCAAGCGGCCAGCGTAGACAGCTGGCAAGTTTTTCCGCAAAAGCAGCTGGCAAGTTTTTGCCAGTCTAGACACAGCCTGAAGGTATTGGGCCCTTGTGGTGTGTCTATACAGGAAAGTTATTTTGGAATAACAGCCGTTATTCAGAAATAACTATGCAAGCGTCCACACAGCACTTCCGTTATTTTGAAATTATTTTGAAATAATGAACAACTTACTCTGACTTCTCTAAACCTCATTCTATGAGGAATAATACCTATTCCGAAACAGCTATTTTGAAATAAGAAGTGGGTAGATGCTTCACTGCTGCTATTTTGAAATAGCCCCTCACCAAGGCCATTCTAAGTTATACCTCCTGGGGCTCTAAATCAAGATAGCACGTCTACATTAGGGAAGCCTGCCTTGGACTAATTCTGAGGCTTCCTTGCAGTGTAGATGTGCTATTTCAAAATAAGCTATTTGGGAATAACTGTGCAGTGTAGATGTAGCCTTGGGCTGTGTCTACATTGGCATCCCTTTCTGGAAAAGGGATGCTAATGAGACACTTCGGAATTGCAAATCCGCGGGGCATTTAAATATCCCCCGCGGCATTTGCATTTACATGGCTGCCGCTTTTTTCCGGGTTGGGGATAAGCCGGAGAAAAGCGCCAGTCTAGACGCGATTCTCCGGAAAATAAGCCCTTTTCCGGAGGATTTCTTATTCCTACTTGCAATTCCGACTCGTCTCATTAGCATCCCTTTTCCGGAAAGGGATGCCAATGTAGACGTAGCCTTGGAGATCAGATTCCACAGAAATGGGAGTGGTATAACTACATCAGATCTCTAGTGAATCAGCAGGTTGAGGAAGCTCCCACTTGGGCAGAAAGTACCACAGATATCCGCTGTCTAATATTTTTCTTTGCAAGACTGTTGCAAATAATGTCAAAGGTAGTTTTAAAAGCCCCCTATTTCTGAAATGGACTTTGATAGTGCCTGTGATTATTGTCATGTGACTCATTTCCACTGTTCCCTCTCATTTTTTCCATCCATGTGCAGAATACATTTTATTATGTTCACCAAAGTATGCATGGGTGTGAATCCCCCAAAGAAACACATGCTACAAGAAGTGGGAAACTGTGGCCACACTGCCAATCAGCTGGATGGCATTTAAATCTCTTCTAGGCGGCTGCCCAAGCACGTAGCTTATAGGCAACCCTACTCATTTCCCCTCTGCCTTTAATTAGTTGGGGCCTGTGCCCACTGAAGTCAATGATAAAACTCCTATTAACTTCAAGGATGCTGGACCAGGCCTGAATTATTTTTCACTACTGTGGTCCTACTTTTTCCACTTACAATGACAATGGGCTGAGTTTTCCGTGCTGCACAAAGTATTTGGATACTTACTGGAGCATCCGGGGAGCAGACAGCCTGCGCGGGCCCCTGGGCAAGATTGGGGGAGTGGTTCTGTGCTCCCGGAAGGAATGAGGCCTCAGGCAGAAGGGCCAGGGCCAGGGCCACCAGCTCTCCATGCTGCCTGGAGCATGGTGCCTACCCTTCCCCCAGCTTCAGAGTTGCACAGAGTGCACAGTGCAGCACTCAGGCAGAGAGCTAAAGGGGCCCAGGGCTCCAGCTGCTGCAGTAGCAGCGGACAGGAGCCCCAGCCTTTTTGAAACTCTGGGTTCCAGGGCAATTGCCCCTGCTGCCCTGCCTTGTCAGCAGGCCTGGAAACATCCAGCCTGCCTAGGCAGCTTTAAATATCTCAGCCAATATAGTCTGATGGTTGCCTCATCTATCTTGCATCCTGAATCTAGTGTCTTAGGTTTAAGCAGAGGACTAACTCCACCCGAACTGATAAGTGACTCATATCAGAATGTGCTTAAAGGGGCATGCCAAGTTCTTTGAGGCAAACAATGTTTTGGAGCCTATACCTCTCTAGAGAAGGCCAGCCGGCCAGCTGAGATAGCACAATCTAAGTAGCATTATTAGATCTGTGCTAATTATTGATGACCTAACAGATGGTGCTTTTGTCACATAAAGAAGCAAGCAATTCATTGCTACCGCACATTTACATATGCATATGTTATAAAGTCATTCAGAAAAGATACTGGAATTTCAGAGTGGATTGAGTTTATTAGCATAAAACTGGAGAAAAAGAAACAGAACTTTGGGTGCTTTTGGAGGGGAAGGGATACCGCAAATGACCTTTCTCTTCTGGTATAAACAAGCCTAGGATACTGAACACTTCCAAGGAACCATGGGATGATAGCTCGTTGACCATCACAAACAGTAGTAGACTATTTAAAAAATGAGTGATCCTGTAGCACCTTTGGGTATGTCTACATTTGCACCCTCTTTTGAGAGAGGGATGCAAATGAAGACATTTGAAATTGCAAATGAAGCCAGGATTTAAATAACCTGCACTTCATTTGCATAGTTGCGTTATGGCGCTATTTCAAAATAGCACTATTTCGAAATAATAGATGCTGTTAAGATGCGGTTATTTCTAGAGAAAATCCTTCTTTCGAAATACTGGGAAACCTAATTGTATGAAGAATAAGGATTATTTTGAGAGAAGGGTTTTCTCTCAAAATAACTGTCTTAATAACGTCTTTTATTTCAAAGTTCGCTATTTCAAAATAGCGCCATAATGCAAATATGCAAATGAAGCGCGGGATATTTAAATCCCGGCTTCATTTGCAATTTTGATTGTCTTCATTTGCATCCCTCTCTTGAAAGAGGGTGCAAGCATAGATGTACCCGACACGACTAACAAAAAAATATAGATACCATCATGAGCTTTCATGGGCACAACCCACTTCTTCAGATGTTGAGTGCTGCAAGAGGCACAGAGGGGCACAGAAACCCCCAAAATTAAGCTTTCTAGCCATCATAGTTTGCAAGGTATCAGACCTCAGAAATCACCCAGGAATGGGGAAGAAGTGACACTGAAGATTGGCTGGCATTTCTGTTAGCCTGGTGACAGATGGGGTTAAATAGATACTATCGGAGAATGTGCAGTATAAAAGTTCAGCATCATATTCATAGGTATAATGGTAATATTCAAACATACAATGTAAACAGAGAGAACTGTTGATGTTTGTAAGAAAACTGATTTACACTTGTGAACTAGAAGCCTTTTAAAGGGCAGGGGAAGTGTCAAACCAATACATTCTAATATTACTTACATGAAAAAAACACAGAATTGTATATATCTTATAAGAAAGATCAGGGAATGACTGGAATGACTGGTACTTATCAGAATCCCCTTTGGAACTGCTCCAGAACTCAGAATCATTCCATGGTTTTAAACTAATTAAGCTTGATCTTCAAAGAAGACTGCTATAGATGATCCTGCAAAAATCCCTGTCCATTCCCAGGCCAGTAGAAGCTTTAGTCTGTGTATTCAAAAAAATTAGTGTCTATGCAAATGTATCTCTTAGCAGTGCAAATGTCTGTCTGTAAAAATGTGATCCATAAGGTATCAAACACCACTACTAGCCTAGCTATTAATGGAATTCAATAACAATGGTGAGATTTGATCAACCTGATTTGCAGGCTGTTTTCAAGGTGACATAGCTTAACTGTCAGGGTTAAATTCAGTCCAGTTGCTAGGGGTGCAGTTCATTTAAATTCAATGAGCTTGCACCAGAATAGAGTGAATACATGTTTAAAGCTGTTTTCTTTCCTCTAAACAGGAACACATGCTTTACCTCCAACGCTTGGAGCAAAGATCAGAAGAACAATTCCTTGAGCACTGGTTAAATCCACATTGCTACCCACATTGCAACAGGAATGTAGTTCACCCCATCTAAAGGGTTTGTTTTTCCCCATTTACTGGCATGTGTTCTACTTTGTAAAGCACCATAGTTCCTTCAAAACAAAGTGCTGAATTTCTGCTGGTGTCTACTGAAGGTAGAGGAGTTATGCTAGTTCACACCTGCAGAGAATTTGGCAGAATGTTATTTTTTTCATAGATTCTCAGGCCAGAAGGGACCTTTGTGATCATCCGGCCTGACCTCCTTAGCACAGGCCATAGAACTTTCCCAAAACAATTTTCAGAGCAAATAATTTACTAAAAGTTCCAATCTTAATTTTAAAATGATCAGTGAGGGTAACTCTTCCACAACTCTTGGTAAAATATTAAACGGTTAATGTCCAAGGTACAAGTTAAAGCTGAAACCACTGAGTGTACAGTTAAAACCTCCTGGATACCATCACTGCTCAGCAGCCTTACAGAATTGTAGGTGCCAAAATTCAGACAAAGGCCCTGATCAAACAAATCTTGGCGTAGAGCAGGCGCATAACCACAGGTGGGCCTGAATGGGCCTTGGGCCTGAATTGGCCGTAGCCCACCCACTTGGCATCGAGGTCCACCCCACAAAGGCTTACCCACTCCACTCCAGAGTTCTGGGCAGGGAGTGGGGCTGGGGCTTACCCCACTCTGCCCTGGCACTCCAACCAGAGCAGGGCTGGGTTTACCATGCTCTGGCCGGGGAGTGGGACTGAGGCTTACCCCTCTCTGCCCCGGCGCTTTGGCAGGGGAGCAGGGCTGGGGCTTACCTCCATCCTTCTTGTCATGCTCCCCCCCACCTCCCATTCTTGCCCACTTGAAGTTGGGTTTCACCCAAGTGTAGAGAGCAGCACCTGTGTATGATTGTTGCATTCTGCAGCAAGTGTTAGTGGAGGCAACACATGAGTGTCAATTAGGTTATTCACTAGTCATACAACCAGTGGTGTAGTGAGTGCGAGGCTGGGGGGGCAGTTGCCCCCAGGCCCATGCTAGGAGGGGCACCAATTTAGCTGCCAAAAGTTATGTTGTTAACTTTTCTCTGCCCACTCACCTCCTTTGCAGAGCTGTGCAGCCACATGCGGATGGAAGGTGACCTGCTGCTGCTGCTGGGGGGACAGGATGGGATAGGGAAGGCTCAGCTGGCCCGCTCTTTGCTGTCCCCGACTCCCCAGGCCTGTATCCAGGGCCACATAACTGCTCAGCTGCTCCGAAGTTCAGGGGACAAATGATTGGGGGGCGCAAATTTTGCTTTTGCCTCTGGGCACATAACACCCTGGCTATGCCACTGTATTCAACTCGATACTGAGCTGTAGTCCATCCCATGTTCTCTGTACACCTGCAAATTCTCTTCCTTGCAAATGCACAGATACAAACAGGAGAAGAGATGGGGAGAGTGGACCTGTCTGAGGGAACAGGAATGTGCACAATTCTGATGCTAATAAAGTACTTGGCTACTAATCCTTTACTACCTTGGAGTAAGTTGGTGATTGCCTAGCACTTCCTGACTTCCTTCCGCTCCTCTGTGTCTACCTTGTGATTAATTGCACAGTGTGATGCACCGGAGTTGAGGCAGTATGAAATTCACAGTGTTCATCATTAAAAGGCAGCATTTAACAACAGTCATGCTGTGATCCTGCTTCATGTGCCTGATCCTGCAAAGAGTGGGGCTTGTTCTGTGGCATCTCTGTTATAGTTTCATAGCAGTTGTGCTCTCCCACTGAAATGGTGCCGTGCACACGAGCATAGGTATATCAGCATAGGTAACTAGTGTCTGCGAGGGAAGGAGGTGCAGGGATGGCCACCCAGAGGAACTGGGAGGGGGTATGAGGAAGCACCCCATTTAGCAATCAAAATTTTGGCAGGGGCACAGTGCATCTCCTGGGTGCTACATGAGTCGCCCATGTTTGTTAGCATATGTTATGTTGCTCCGTGTGTGTGTGTGTGTTTGATGTTAGTTATGCCAACAGACTGTAGTGCAGACATACCCATAGGGTCAGATTTTAAAAGGTATTTTGGTGCCTGATGGGATTTTCAAAAGTACCTAACTTTTGCTGAGTTCCGTAGGAGTTAGTCACCTAATCTGCGGTGGTATTTTTGAAAATCTCACTAGGCATTTTTATGCATTTTTAGATGTCTGTATAGCTTTGAAAATTGGACCTTCAGTGGAAAAACACCAACTTGTCTCAGCTGAAGATCCAGCCCTTTTAAAAATAATAAAATCAAAAGCTTAGTTTCTCAGACAGAAGATGGCAGCATTCAAAAACTGTATCAGGTGGCCCAATTTTACCCTTGCTCCTAGTATGGGAGTATTGTGAACTTAGACCAGGTCTACTCTACAGGGGAAGATCCAATTAAGATATCCAACTCCAGCTAAGTTAATTACATAGCTGGAGTCAAAATACCTTAATTTGCATTAACTCACGGTCTCCACAGTGGGAGGTTGACATGAGCAAATTCTTCCATTGGCTTCCCTTACTCCTCACAAGGAGCAGCCAATGGGGGTGCTCTCTGAGTTCTATTTAGCGGGTCTTTACTAGACCTGCTAAACTGAAATCTGGAAGGTTGACTACAGCAATGTCCATCTTCTGCATAGTGAAGACTTGGCCTTAGATTACTGTTTGTACATCACTTACAAGCTGTGAAGCTCTATGTATATTCTTAATGCTGTCAGCATGTCTTTCTGTGAACTAATATTTCCTCATTCCTTTTCCAGATCTCCCCAGGTGCATTTAAGAAGAAACGGTCAGAACGAGGTTCATCCAGCATCTGCAATGTATTAACTGTAGAGCTAAAAGTATTTGGAATATTGAGCAATCTTAGTATGTAGCAAGGCTTTTGTAATCATACATATTTCAAATAATTTAATTGAATCATATCACCATATATTTTCAACCCATGGGTAAGCTAAGGGTTTATATGCATGAATCTAGAGCTTCTCCCAAGATTATAGAAGTGGGGCAGAGCAAATCACCAGCTTGTTTTAGAACATGGTTATTTTGGCTACTGTCTTATATATTGAAGCAGAAGGAGGCTTTAAGAGAAAGGAATGACACAGCTGGAAAATAAAAGCATGATGTGGCTCCCACCCTTTGGGGTTTTGGAGGAAACCTTGATTACAGAATTTCTGCAGTTTTAATAATATTGTAGTGAAGCATAACATTTATGCAGCATTAACCTTTTATACTAATTGCCTTGCAAATTATTTCACCTGTTATATCATAATAAAAGCTCAGATCAAGTCAGTTGACATTTAATTTTGTTACACTGGCATCAGACAGTGAGTGTAGATAGAATCAGTGAAGTGTTGCTCAATATATACCGCCTGAACTGTGCATGTTGTTCACTGGGGCAAAGCATGACAGAGGCAATGTATAGATTGGGTATATGTCTTTGGCTGGGGACAATGTCCCCACTTAGCAAACTTTCTATATGAAAATCATACATTTGGGGCCTCAGTTACATACATGTAGTCACATGGATTTTTCAGGAGGATTTCATAAATGGAACTGAGGGCAGAATTTTGTAATTCCAAGCAGTAATAAATGGATGAGTCCCTTAGGGACTTGGCGAGTTCTGAAACTAAGGACACTTTAAAGTAGGCAAGGCAATAGTATCATTGAATGGCCAGTGTCTGTCACCTTCCCTTGGCATATGAACCTATAGAAGGAGTATGGGAACAGCTGCTAATGTGCAGCATTCTTGGGAATCAAGCTTTTAGGCATAAGCTGAAACAGTGAGGATTTGTTTCCACTTAAAAGCGCTTCTCCAGTAGCACTCCCCTGTTTGTTCTATGGCATCTGTGCTGCTTTTCAGGGAGAAGCTTAGCAGGGCCCGCTTTAGGAAGTGCAGGTCCCAATTTGAACAATATCGACGGGGCCCTGCAGCAATTTTGGTTGAGCAAAAAAAAAGAAAAAGCACACAAAAAAATCCCCAGCTACCTCCTCCGCCAACACACCCCCTCCACTCCCGCAGCGCAGGGAAACCCTGTGCTAAACTCACACCTCCTGCAGCACAGGCAGGCGCCGCACTCCTCCTCCGGAGCCAACGCCCCCTCCCACAGCGCGCCCCACACACTTCCAGATTCAGGATGCGGGGCCCCTTTAGGCACGGGGCCCGATTCAGGGCAATTGGGCGAATCGGCCTAAGGCTGGCCGTGAAGCTGAGTGTGAACCTTCTTCTGCTGTGTGTGTGTAGACGCACCCAGGGTTTCTTGCAATTAGTGAAAAATAAGGTGGGGAACACAGGACCCAGCCGTCAGCCTCTGTCTTTCATGTGGGTATTAGGCAGATCAGGGAGGGACCCTTACATTTAATGCCAGAGAGTAGCAATGTTTGCTGTTACGGCCCCTTTGGTCATAGCATGCCTTCTCCACGGGACTGGACAAGGATGGGAGGGTCTCAGTGTTGGATTTTACTGACTCTAAAAACACAAACCCCTTCTTCCCCTATGGCTTCTAAACACTCATTGTGCAGCGCGGAGGAGCACATGGATCAGACAGAGATATCTCTTAGGGGAGGGTCTATTAATAGAGATTCTCTATGTTCTAGTCGGGAGGACAGGATGGAAGTATGAGTCAGATCAGAAGAGACACAATCACGTGAAAAAAAGTAACACATCAGGAAATGGCCGACAGATAAATAGTGACACATTTTTAAAGTGCTTATACATGAACGCTAGAAGTGTAAATAATAAGACGGGTGAACTAGAGTGCCTCATTTTAAAGGAGGATATTGATATAATAGGCATCACGGAAACTAGGTGGAATGAGGACAATGAATGAGACACAGTCATATCAGGGTAGCAGTGCACAACCCGCAGGGGTAGGGGGAGTGACAGGGGAGTGGACTGGCGCTTTAAATTAAGGGGTAGCAACAAAATGTTCCCTGGGCTTTTTTTTTTGCTCATCCAAAACTTTCCCAGCTCTGGGGGAAGGGGAAGGAGGATTGCAAATTAAAAAAGGTTGAGCACTGTACCAGACAGAACAGCTTGGGCTGGTGGGGGAGTGGTGCTGTACGTGAAAGAAAATACAGAATCAAATGAAGTAAAATCTTAAATTAGCCAAAATGTTCCATAGAATTTCTCTATGGATAGTAATTCCATACTCCAATAATAAGAATATAGCAGTAGGCGGGGCTCGACAATCTTTGTAATCTACTTGCCCATGGCGATTACAACCCGGAAGAGCTGGGTTCCGGCGATCTGTGCCTGCGCAGAACACCGGACAGCGTGACTGGCGAGCAGAGCTCACCGTGGCTCGGTGAGCCCTGGCAATAGGGATATATTACCAACCACCTCATCAGGACAGTGATAGTGACTATGAAATGCTAAGGGAAATTAGAGAGGCTATGAAAATAAAAAACTCGATACTAGTGGGGGATTTCAACTTTCCCCATATTGACTGGGTACACGTCACCTCAGGACGGGATGCAGAGATAAAATTTATTGATACCTTAAATGACTGCTTCTTGGAGCAGCTGGTTCTGGAACCCTCTCCCGGCCTGGGTTTTTACCCCTTAAAGAGCCAGACTACGTCTACACTGGCATGATTTTCCGGAAATGCTTTTAACGGAAAAGTTTTCCGTTAAAAGCATTTTTGGAAAAGCACGTCTAGAGTGGCACGGACGCTTTTCCGCAAAAGCACTTTTTGCAGAAAAGCGTCCGTGGCCAATCTAGACACGCTTTTCTGCAAAAAAGCCCCGATCACCATTTTAGCCATTGGGGCTTTTTTGCGCAAAACAGTACTGTGCTGTCTACACTGGCCCTCTTGGGCAAATGATTGCGCAAGAGGGCTTTTGCCCGAACGGGAGCAGCATAGCATTTCCGCAAGGACACCGACGATCTTACATGAGATCATCAGTGTTCTTGCGGAAATTCAAGAGGCCAGTGTAGACAGCTGGCAAGTTTTCCCGCAGCAGCAGATGATTTTGCGGAAAAACTTGCCAGTCTAGACACAGCCCCAGTGTGGGTCAAATGCTCTGTCACATTTAGTGATCTGCTTATCTAAGTCTTCACCAAAACAACACCTGTGAATAGTGAATTAAAATAGCACGAGAAACATTAAAATACTTTAAAGATCACATCACGATAATTCTCAGAGACTGTCATTACATTCACATTGGAATCCTGTTGACAGGTGACAAAATAAAGCCAGTTCAGTGAAGGTTTAGATGATCAGAGGATTTGCCATCCTAGAATAGGCCATTGGGTCATCTAGACTATACTTCTATCACAGAGATGATCCTACTGGATAATTCACAGGAAATTATTCAAATCTCAAAGCATTAAAGGGTTACTTTCAAATATTGTCAAGAACCGCTGATTAAAGCTTTTAGAACAGCTGCTTCTCTGCCCTTCATTCTCCCCATCTAACCTGATACCAAATGTTAAGGAAATACTGAGCTAGATCCCTAAATTTGACCTCTCCATTGCCATTCATCTCATTGGGTGAAATCCTGGCTTTACTGAAGTCAATGTGAAAACTGCCATTGACCTTAGTAGGGCCTGCATTTCATCCACTGAGATCATTGAAGTCACAGAAGTTACATCTACATTTACAACAGTGGAAGGTCTGGACAGTGGCATAGTGAAGAGGAGGTGGGGGGAGGAAGTTGCTCCCGAGCGCCACTCTAGGGGGATGCCAATTTAATCTCCCTCCATTCCCCCGTCATCCCTCCGCTCACTTGCTCCTCTCCGCCTCTCTGCCCCCAGCCCAACCCTCTTCCATCTCCGCTGGCGGGTTAGTGCATATGGGGGCCCGGCCCTGCACTGGAGGGGGCGGGAGAAGATGTGTTACAACCTCCTCCCCACCTCCCAGGTCAGGCTCAGCCATGTGCCGGGTTCGGGGCACCGCCGCATGGCGGTGATGACAGGGGGGCGCAAATGTTGCCTTTTTCCCCAGGTGCATAACACCCTCACTACACCTCTGGGTTTGGACAATTAGCGACATTCTTTGAGTGGCCTTTGAGCCTGATCTGGTAAGGCACTGAGCATCTCCAGCAGGGCCCTGAGAACTTACAACTCCCACTGAAGTTGATGGGAAACAATGGCCCGATATAGCCCTAGGTTTGAATAGTATTGGGCAAAGCTGCTGAGCTATGAAGACCGAAGCAGAAACTTTATAAATGAAGATAAGCCACAGGCTTTGCTATGGCTGCACAACAGATCCATGACCAGACGTACATGCTTTCATGTCTCGTCTCTTATTCCTCCACTCCACAGCATTCAGGACTGGCTTTGCAGTTCTGCTAATGCGCTTCTTCGCTGTTTTACAGCATACAGAAGCTTGAATTTAGGAGGAAACAGCACAACAAGAAGACCCCTAGCACAGACCGTCTGCAATTGTCAGAAGGGCTCTCTTCAGGCTCTGCTCCCAGCCCCATAGTGTGGAAAGCCGTCTGGAGGCATAGCCTCCGTGCACTGCACCATGGTTATTCACTGTTTCCTGTGGGGCCATAGGAATCAGAGCTTCAGTGAGAGCAGCCCTAAGGCTCATAATCACAAATGCATACCTGGAATTCAAGCCAAAGATTTAAGAAGCATGGCGCCCCTCACAATTGGGCCCGGGCTGTCGCCCAGTCAGCCCATAGCTTGGGCTGGCTCTGTGGCCACCCTGCCAAAGATGCTTAGACTCAAAAACAGCCTGACTGGCTTTGCACAGCTGGCTTCAGGGGAGACCTCAGGCCACATGTTTTGCACAGACTAGATAGTAATTCTCATCTGAGACTCTCCAAAGGTATGTAAGGAGCATTATCCCTCCTTTTTACAAACTAAGGCATGAAGACAGAGAAGAGAAGTGACTTGGTCAAGGTCACAGATAAATCAGTGGCAGAGCTAGACCCAAACTCGGGTCTTCTGATTCTCAACTTGGTGCCTAGTTGAATCCTGCCCTTCTACTATTGTTTAAGGGGGAAAAGCCTGGGCTGCTTCCTTTTACTTACATAAGTGGTTTGATTTCCAAGTTTTCATTAATTCGGTACACAACTGGGATGAGCCAGCAGAGGAAAGATGAATCAACCCACACTGACATCAAAGCACAAACCAAACCCTAGGTAACCCTTCCCCCTCCAAAGTTCCACACAACTTTACTAAGTCAGACTCTCCGGTATATCCACCTGCAACTCTTGGTCCTGGCACTGGACACTGAATGGATGAATAATACGGGATGCTGTTTTGGGCATGTTCATGGCCAGATGAGAGGTACAGGAGATCTGAGCAGGCAGACTAAGGGGGAGAGGAAAC